ATAAATTAATAAATTAAACATCACGAATATTTTATCCAAGAAAAATCACTTCCACTAAATCAGTTGGCCGGAATAGTTTTTAGAATACGTGCACTTGTGCTAAACAACTATAATAACTTATCTAACCATACTACAATATAAATGCCACCTCTCGACATAAATATAAAGCCTAGCTCAAATATCCATATATTTTTACTCTTATTTAGAGAGTATTTTATAAAATACTCTCACCTTCACTAATGCTGCACAAGCGCTTGGAAGATTCTATACGAGTCAACCAAGATAGCTCTGAACTGGCTACGTGTTCATTAATATTATCCAACACTTAATAATATAACCTTAATTTGCAACTGTCGACCGCTGATGTCAGCCGAGAGGAAGGGAGGTTAGTGTTGGGCTAAAGGCCTATCAATCTCTGGAGGGTAATTAAGGCCACCATAATAAATACTGATCAACCAGCAATATAATTTAGACTAAAACATGCGGTCAGGACTACAGTAAACTCAGTTTACACACACACACAAGCGGGAACACCAGCAGGCCCAGGGAGGGCACCAGGCGCCCGCCCCGCCTCACACCTCACCAAATGTAAACAAGTTACCTGTGGATTCCATTGAGATTTCCAAGACGGTTCCTCAGACTGTTGCTCACATAACGTTGAGATGATCCCTCCGGCATAGACCTTTGGTTCAACTGAGTCTCCTGTTGTCGGGACGAACATGAAAGGTGCGGCATGACAGCTGGACGCCACAGGTCTCCTCCCATTGGTGACAATAGGACACATGACCCAGTAACCACTGAACTAGTCAAAGTGTCCTCTTCATCACCTAGATTTGTTTAGCTGCAGGTAAAACATCAAGTTTTATCTTGCTTGACTAATATAACACATTCAATTGTAGATAAAAATAGATATCAATATGATAAATATGATGACGCAAATATGAACTTTAAATATGATAATATAAACAAAATATTATTTAGCAGGCCTTCATGTTGGTTGTGGGTGGGTATGACTGAGAATTACTGTTCAGTAATGTTATGATGGAAAGCGGTATTATAACAGTGTGAGTGTGTGCAATCACCTAAGTGCACAGGCGTACATGCGCCTGTGCATGCTCACACGCACAGGCGCATGTGATCAACCTCAGCCGGTTTCTCGATTTCCCGGATCAAACAAGTTGACCCAATTGACAACAAATCGATTGAAACTATTTTCCCGGGCGTAAAAACACGCGGTAGTTTAGCCTAACCTAACACGTCACAACCCAGCCAATCCACCTAAACTATACCGGAGCCTATATACGTTTTAGTCCTATGATACGTCAATATATTGCGGTGTTATAAATTTTCCTAAACCAACGCAAATGTTACGGTGGTTACGACTGCGTAAAAAAGTAGTGCGTTCAGTAAAATGGAGTTAATGAAGTAGTTTTTTTATAGCACATTAAAAATTAAACGAAATATATAATTCTACGGGAATATAGCGTGGCGTTTCACTAAAATATATGCAATACAGTATATATATATATACTAAAAATTAATACCGAAATATAAGTAAAAAATTAATTAGGGAAGATTTCCCTATACAGTAAAATAGCCTAGTGTGAACTCAAACATTGCTTAACCTAGATTAAGTAGTGTATCAGCACTCGCAAGATTAATCACTCGGATATGATAGATATATTTTCTTACTAGAAATATATAGTAACTACTAGTTATGGTAACTAGAATACTTCATATATGATAGGAATTGAGAATATTGTCTAAGAAGACTTTCCAAGAATTACATACCGAACTTTAAGTCCATGTGAAGCGGTGTCTTTCAGATATATCCTAACGACTCTGTGAAGCGGTATCTTCGAGTCCTAGCGTCTATATGAAGCATTACCTCAGAGTCCTAGCGTCCCTGTGAAGCAGTACCTCAAAGTCCTAGCGTCTACATGAAGCATTACCTCATAATCCTAGCGTCTCTGTGAAGCGGTACCTCCGAGTCCTAGCGTCTCTGTGATGTGGTATCTTCGAGTCCTAGCGTCTATATGAAGCATTACCTCAGAGTCCTAGCGTCTCTGTGAAGCGGTACTTCCGAGTCCTAGCGTCTCTGTGAAGCGGTACCTCCGAGTCCTAGCGTCTCTGTGAAGCGGTACCTCCGAGTCCTAGCGTCTCTGTGATGTGGTATCTTCGAGCCCTAGCGTCTATATGAAGCATTACCTCAGAGTCCTAGCGTTCCTGTGAAGCGGTACCTCAGAGTCCTAGCGTTCCTGTGAAGCGTACCTCCGATTCCTAGCGTCTCTGTGAAGCATTACCTCCGAGTCCTAGCGTCCCTGTGAAGCGGTACCTCCGAGTCCTAGCGTCCTTGTGAAGCGGTACCTCCAAGATGAGTACTGGACCTTGTGTGTACAAACGGAGGATAGGGTCAAGTGGTCCCTCGGATAAAGTATTTTTTTATTCTCTATATATTTGGGTAAGTTTATTATTATTGCTATTATGCACAATTATTCGTATTTGCAACTGTTCTGAAGGTTCCTGACTTAATACTTCAAATTAATTATATATCTTCAAGCCTTTTCAAATCGTTGTAGTACTGTAAAATGTACGCACCAAAATCTTTCCAAAGAAGTAATGTACCTTCTTCGTAAACAGAGAATATCAATATTAGTATTAAATACTATATATCAAATACTTAAATAACTGAAACTTTTTTTCTTTTGTATCAGCAATTTACAGTGAGCCATCTGCAGGCGCAGTAAGAAAAGGAATATTGCGCTCAGCAGGAAAATTACATGTTGTCGTCGAGTGAGGTAATGGCGCAGTGAATCACTCTGGAATGTTATAAACATGGCGTAGAGTATCCTATAACTCAATGCTAGGACAGTCACATTTATCTAGATTCTGCTGGGCCAAGAACTCATAACGTGTTACTCTTGACCCTTTAACAGCATATGCTCTACTATGGTTATTTCCATCTGGCGTCTAAGTCCTTTTTACAAAAGTTGGTCTTTCAAACAGAAGAAAACGTAATATAAAAGTTTTCTAAATACACGCACCTACGTACTGTGCTTACGTCATTTTGACGTCATATTTTTCAGTTTTGGGAAATCATCGGGCTGGAACCCCGCCTACCAGTCAGTAGAACCTCACACAAACACCCAACCTACACACCTATAAACTCGCCACGAGAAAACCATTCTTATCTGCTCTATGAAAATAGGAATACTAAACTTGAGACTGAATCAATAAGTCTGGTCACAAGATGATCATGGAACTCATTCAGCTGCTTCAACTTTTCCACGCCTCTATGTGCTAAAATTTCCATATGATTAAGAAAGGCATTAATTTTTTATTTTAATTTGCAATTCTAATGAATATTATTCTAAGATCTTCACGTCAACGGTCATATTAAATTTTGTTTTAAATTTTCTTGCATATTTATTATGTAGTCACTGATTTGCACCCACGGACTTTAAATACATGAAATTATCAGGTTTCTGCAACTAGGTCATCAATGCTGTAGCTTACACGGTTGAACGAATTAGGAGGGTTCAGTTTCTGAGCCAATTATGTGCCTCTGTAACTTTTAAAGCTACCAACCACAGGAAACGTTTAGGGTGCATAATAAATTAACTAAACTTCTATATACATCGGCCTAATGTCGTTCTATATTTTTAAATACAAAAAAAAAGGTCGACGTCTTTCAGTTAACTTTTAATAAAAAATACTGCACAAGCTAATATAAGCTAAACAAAAGCATGGGGTAAACATCAATGGAGAGAGTGATATTTCTTGCACAGTAGAGGCTCGTAGATCTCACTTGTACTCATGCAAGAGCACCAGTGCAGGCACACAAAACTTCCTTTACAACTCAAACATTTTATTCATATTACATATCTAATACAGTACATAGCTTTGCTTCCTCAATGTACAAGTCTTATAAATAACCCTCGGTTTCTTCTAAGGTACCATTGTGCTGCCTCAATTAGTGCATTAATTCCAATGATTCTTAAACTGAAGGTTATTTTCAATTTTGAAAGTTACATTTCATTCCATTAAAAGTCCACAAATTAACCTTGCATAGCCGATATGTAACAATGCTAAGGGGCTTAAGGAATAATAAATTATGTTAAAAGGTTGCAGTGGAAATATTGCAGATTGGGAGGGCAAAATGTGCATAATATGGAGGCACAGTAAAGAATATGAGATATGGAATGATTTCCCATTGACCAGAACAGGAAACCTGTTGGGTTTATTGGGATTTGTCTAATTCCCAGATCATAGCATCTCAGTCCTGAACAAATATCATACTCTGAACTTTCGGTTGGGAATCGACTGTGATGACCACTATACTACAGAAATATATGGTGTGTTTGGTACCAGTACATTACAATCACATGGACATGAATAAATAATGGATGGCAATTTTCAGAAAATCAGTAGGCAATCAATATTAAGGAAAGTGAAAATGGAGACATACAAAACAAAGTGCCATGAAGGTACTGGTATGCTGTATATGGATCAGAACGTTTCCTTCCCACATCATTTACCCAACTTTTAAATTCCAATTTTCCGCCTGATTCCTCTTCCCTTTTCCTTAGAGGATGACCTAATGCAAAGTAATATGTCAAGACATAACACGGAGTCCATGAATCTGTGTGTGCAGTGCCCTGAATTGATTCTTTTTTATATAACCACTTTATGCAACATACTTTACCACCACTCATTGTCAAACCCTTACAACTTCAAAAATAAACTTTATGTATATAGCTATTGTTTTAAATTAAATGCAAGCTTGAGAATTTGAACCAAACTTGACAAGAGGCTAATTAAACCTAAATCAATTTATATAACCTTTATTCCTTAACCCTAACAGGTAAATTTAAATGAATATCACAGTAGTAAATAGTTAATTTCATCAATAATATATTTACCGGTAAGTGCAGATTTTAATTTTAGATAAATAACACACACACATATATATAAATATATATATATATATACACACACACTCAGGCTGTAATTTAAAATGGTGATTACCAATATGTAATAGTTCCATGGTTCTATCTAAAATGTAGACCATTGGTAGATGATAGGAATTTTGCAAATTTAACCTCAGGTAGGAAGAAGTTGGGATTAATGTATGATCTTAATAAAAAATAGTACTGTATCAGTTTTGATATAACTTACAAACCATGTATGAACATGACATCACATACACGACATTGAAAATAAAATATATAGCGTCCGCATTACAATTTAATAATTTAGTTTACATATAATTTTTTTTATAGTCATACTGGCTTAGAGCTTTCGCCTCATAATTAACTTACTTTTTTACGGGGGATTTCCTTACTAAATCCATATTATTTCAGACAAATTAATCAGGTTCTATTTTATTTAGGAAAATGTATATTCTACTAAATTCAATAATATATTATAATGAAAAAATAATGTTCTGAATAAACAAAACAAACAATAATTAATCAGGAAATAGACAAAACAAACAATAGTTAAGCAGGAAGGCTCCTATCATTCCTTTTATATATTAAAATTAAGAGAGAAGCATCAAACTTGTCATTCCTTTATTCTGTAGAATTATACCTGGATGTATTTCATAACTTTAAATTCAAAATGTATCAACTAATAGGTTTCTATAACAGATCTTTCATGTTGAACATTGAAATATGGTCATTTACGAAAGACCTTTGAATTTTGGCTTTACAATGCAAATTTAAATACAGGAAAATACAGAAGGAAAAAAGTTAAACTCCTTTGAAATGATCCTTTAATGTCTTATATTTACACATGAATGTGAGTATTGTACTAGTAATGTATTGGCTAGATGAAATAATAATAGGAATTTTCTCCTTATACTTTATGGTTACAATTTCTTCTCAGATCTGATATAAGATTATTATCAGTTTTTAAATATGGTATTACATTAATAATGGTCATCTTGTAACACCACTAAAATGGCCATCTTAAATTTAAAAAAAAAATATATGACCATATATATTCTTACACAATAGAATTTAATATAAATTACATCCTCAAAACGTGTTAAAAAGTGCTACATCATATAATAATTCCATAACACTTTATTTAATTGATGAAGCTATAATGATGTTCAGAAATATTTGTTGACAATAGATTTTATCTGTAGACTACATTTTACTAGTAATGTACTGGCAAAACACCATCTACGCATAAAGTCTACACACATTTACGAGTTTATTTGCATCATTAGCAACAGTTCATGCTCTGCTCAAGCTAAGCTACTGTATAATATTAAATACATATAACTCATATTTCAAGTAAACAGATGCAGAGTGTCTCTAATTTCTAATGCATTCATGGCTTCAAATAAGATGGAAAATAATACAAATAAACCTAAAATTTCTTCTTAATATCTTGCTAGAAAAGTATTCATATACAAATCCTTTAAAAATATTATTACCAACAATAATTTATTTTATTTCATGTCCATATACAAAAGCTCTATTATGCTGTACTCAGCTTACCCACCATTTGGTTTTCTGATAACATACTTATACCAATATAACTACCAGTATACTGTACCTAGTTAAAATATGTACAGTATAGTAGGTACATATAAATTTCTGCACACATTTTGCAAACTCATTTATTTACAAAATCTACATTCTCAACTATAAATTTAACAAATGTCACTGATACTAAGTATATCAAATTTGTATGATATTTTGTATCAAATGTACACACTGTATATATATTGCCTTTTCATCTCAGAAGTATATTATTTTCAGTTACAAAATATAAAATGAATCAAGCAGACACAAAATATTTAAAACATTTATGACTTTGACAGTGACCAGGTAAATACCAAGCCTTCAGTGATGACAGTCGACCTATAATGAATCACAACGTCCGTGCATTCTTCTCGAGCTACGCAAGTTGTATCTTGGTCCGCCTTCACACTGAAACGGTCAAATTAAAGTTTATTTTAGCTCTCGGTTCTTTTACTCCCAGTTTAGTGAGATAATTAATTCAAAATTCCAAACATGCAGGAAATGCTACAATAAATATCAATTATTAAAGTTAAGGAAAAGGAAAGGTATGCACCAGTCTATCTGATACAGCATATGAATTATAACCTTTAATCCCCCTCCCCACCCACTATATCGCAGTCTGATACAGCACACACATTTTTAATCCCCCCAAGTGTTCCAACAGAAGTGTTTCAAATGATGATTTCTAGTAAAACAAAATATGAGTAAAACCACACAGAAAAAAACAGATTAATAGAGAACAGACAAATATGGAGGGGGGCTTACTTATTGAGTGGAAACCCAGAGCTTAGGGAAGGAGGAACTTAGCTACTAGAAAGGCACATAATTGCCACACAGGCCTGGTGAGGATGGTAAACATCTAAGCTAACAAGAAAGCCACCTTAAAAAAATAAAAAAAAGGAATCCTCAGCCAAAAGGGGAAATAAGAAAATAGAGGTGTGGACACAAAGAAAAGAACCCCAATCCTAGGACCAAGAAAGTTCCAGAGCAACAGGATTTAGCTGGAGGTAAAAAAAAATAGGCCTAGAACAATGAGAAAAAATGAGAGAAAAGCCTTTACACAGAAATAAAATGCTTCACAAAGGCCAAACAGTAGGAGGCAACACTATTAAGCAAGTGACAGTGCTCCACAAAGAGCCAGGGCAGAAGTAACATGACCACCAGCACAGAAATAGAGAACAGCCAGTGAAGAGAAAGGAAAAGCTATAATGACCACTAAGTCACCTCATACTGGCAACAAGGAGGATGCAAATGGGACATTTAAATGACCTGCCTTCTGATCCCTATAGCAAAATATATAGGTGTAAAATCCCCCTGGCTGGCAGTATCTAGCCGCCATGTTGCTATCAAATTGAGAATTTTACTAGTATAACCATATGATGATATATTCTGTATTATACCTGTCATTCTTTCAATACTATTAGGTAACTTTCTGTAACAACTTTTGGTACTTGACACCGGCACGTCTGCCCACCCTGTTGCCACAGGCAGTGGCTATCGATATGTTCGCGAGCTCTTATTTTGGGAACCACCAAGAGTTAACATGCTAAAAAAAAAAAAAAAAAAAAAAAGATAGCATAGTGTGCTAGTAGTGTTTGGTGATGTTTTCAAATTGTTTGATAAATTTTTTTTAACTCACTTGCTATAGCTCAACACCATGGCTGGAGTTGAGCTATAAATGGCCATGTTAGGTAACTCATTTCATGGAAATAAACAAACATTAAGATGCAATATTAATAAGACATAATGGTGTGTTGGCATGAGCTGGTGTAGTCCTCGGGTAATTTGGAGATACAGTACAAAATTGTATTGTGCTGCACCTGGTTACAGTGGCTAGATACAAACACCTGGGCATTTGTGGTGTCAGTATCTCGCCACATTGTTTATTACCCATAATGCACCTTTCTTTCTAATGCACCTGTCAACCAGTATCAGGCTACAGTTTTAAAGTGTACATCTACCTGAAAACAAGAGCGAAAAGTTTCATAAAATGTAATCCCTTTAATTTGACTCAAATCATTATTTTACTTTGACTTGTATAAGAAGCACGTATAGAATTTTGGAAAACCATACCTTTGTATTTGTATTTTATTTTGTATTAAATTCCTGTCATATTTCAATATTATATTGGAGTTCAATATACCCAAAGAGTTCCTGGCATTTTGGTGATACTGTATGGTTCAAGCTAATGGTGAAGACCCAATAGTCTTTTTTTTTTTTTTAAAGAGAGGCTATAAGATACTACTCCCATAACAAATTACAGTATACTAACAAGAGGCTAAATAATCCAAGGTTAACAAAAGGTATTTTAATCAATCAAGAAAAATCATGAGTATGATAACAAGTACAACTAGGAATTAAAATAAATAAACTGTAAAACTAATCACCAGAGAGAGAACTTAAGCTAATATGAAAATAAATTTTTAAAAATAAAGAACAGCAAAATCAAGAAAATTCTCTCATATCTTGATATATGAGAGAGTAAAAACCAACTTAAACAATAAACAAGTAGAACTCACTGTAGATGACAGGCCAATGATATCAGCCACTAAAAGTGCCACATAATTTAGTATTTTCTTTTCAATAAGAAAAACTCTTGCAAATAAAATCCCTGCAACATAAATCAGTGTAAATAGTTATCTTATTGGCAACTATTAAAATTCTCTACCTCTCCCTAACCAGTTCTTCAGATACTATCTCGATAATACACCCACATTAAACCAAAACAGGATACCAATATTCAACACAAACCCTAATGTACCAAAATGCCTCAGATGTGCTAGTGCCTAACATTGAATTACTCTACAAAAATCACTAAACTCCAAGCCATCCCTGATATTCTTAAGAAAGCCAGAGTAACTTCAGGGCAGAAAGGTGTAGAGCATAACAACATTAACAATCATCAGCCAACATAACCATATTACCTAAAATACCTTACTTAAAGATAAGCTTTACTCCTATCTATCCTGCAAATTTTACAGTGGTTTCTTGTATACTCAGGTCATATGTTTGTGATTTTTTATACTGTACATGTTTTTACTGGTGTATACTGTATATTACAGCACATGAATAAAAATAAGCTTAACTCTTTAAAACTGTTTTGCTTCACTTAATTATTAATTTCAGTGAATTATTCACCCAGATCAAATAGGATAGTATAATTTTGTGTAAATTGAGTTCAAAGTAAATTGCTGATAAGCTGTTGGAAAAACTATTATCTGAAGAATTTTAATGTACAGTACAATACAGGTTTATCTATAATACAGTACAGAAGAACTTCGGGTGACGAGCAGCCCCATCTACGAGCTTTTCAGGTAATGAGTGAGCTACTCGCAGAAAATTTGTCTCAATTGACGAGCTTCCGCTCAGTTAATGAGAAAACCACGACGATGCTTCCTAACGTTCCCGCTGGTTCTCAGACGCCTCTGACGACAGTGTTATTGTTTCGCAAGACGAGCGTTTCACATAACAATCTCAGTGCTGGAACGGATTAAATTTGTTAACCAAGGCACCACTGTACTTTATTTACATATACAACTGATCCGAGCTATTTTTGTTCATTACTTATATAAGTAGCTTATCCTCAAGCATATACAGTACTATCATTGAATGATTAAAAAATGTGTTGATGCATCACAAATTTAAATTTAAAATAGTATTACTGCACTAAAATATTGATTCGGAATGTTCAATATTTTTAATGCAATATACTGCACTGTATATTGCTGACCTTGTATTACAGTCCTGAGCCATTAATAGCATCACCTCTACCATATTTCTCGCTTTAAGGCTACGAAGAGATACACACCAGTGAAGGATGGAAGAAGTATAATACTAATGATAATCTGCAACATATTACTGTTCTCACTATCATCCACTCACTTCAACATCCACAATGCTTATCCTACTGGGCAACCAAAATATACCCAATATACTTCTGCAATTTCATAGGCTAGGTATAAAATATTCCTAGTAGTGGAAAAACAAGCTTGTAAACATTCATTCCCTCCTAACAAACTGCCTCCATTCAGTTCTACTACTTACCATTTATTTTGCACATTTATCATGTACAAGGCTATTTGCATGAAAATCACACCATATTGTCTCACAACTACATCTGCCCACCTATTTCTCAACCTTTCAATTTTCCTTCTCCATTCCAATTCATAAATAACTCATCCAAAAAACTAAGTGAATTTATTTCACCTGGCTATACCATGATCATTTGATCTTGAACAGTCTTACTAGAAATACCTTTAGTCTATACATGAAAATTCCCTACATTGTATGGTATTCAAGAAGACAACTAGAATTATATCATTAACTCTTAAATTCCAGCAAAGACAAAAATTTTATTGTGCTATACAGTATTACATTTTATTAAAATTACAACTTATCACTGCAACTACAGTTCTGCAGACAAAAAAGTACACTTACTTTTATTCACTACATTGACAGGTAATACCATATTCCTATGAATAAACAGGAATTTCTCAAAATGCCCGGTTGGATAACAGGTTGGTGACACGTAGTTTAACATTGTTGGGGACATGAAGCCTATTAGGTTTATTGAGATTTCCCCCTCCCCCCTCCCCCTTAGCAAACACTGACCTTTCCCACAGAAATCTACCAACTCCCAGGTACCTATATACTGTTTGGTGAACAGAGGCATTGTAAGGAAATATAGTACTATACTAATATGCCCAAAAATCTCACCCTGCCCAAGAATTGAGCCTAGGACTACTGCACTACAATATATATAAAAATATAACTATTAATTAAATTACCTTCATCATGTAAAAATCATCTTTGTTTGCGTCTTTTAGAAGATGCTTGCCGCTTGCTTTTGCGGTTGGTTTCACAGGCAAACCAGGGATACAAGAAGAACCCTCTTCACTAGTGTCCCCTACTTTCACACAGAAGCAGAAATTTGTCAAACATTTGGAACATTGCTTTTCATTTGTAATTAAAGGCAAAAAATCTTTGCCATTTTTCTTCATACTAGACACACTATGTGAAATGCAATTATTAAAGGAAATTCTCTTTCTTCGCCTAGTATCTGACCACTCCTCATGCTCAACATTTTCTGTTCTTGGTTTCTCCGAGCCATGACAAATATACTGTGATGGGTCAATTTTGTCAGGACATGATGCACTACACTGCTTGCCTTCAGGAGTTAAACAAAGATGAGGATAATCAAATTCCCATTCATCACTGATTAATAATTGTCCCAAGGGAGAACACTCACCGGGCTTCAAGCTTTCTGAGGACTGCAATTGTTCAAACAAAACTTGGCAGGACTTTTCATTTTTGGCAGCACTCAAGTCTTTATCCTGCAACTTCTCAGTAATATTCTTGTCATTTTTTCCCACTTTAGAAATGTCATCACTTAGAAATAACAAGTCTAAATCTGACAATTTTGTAACATCATAGCTTTTAGAAATGTCTGATTTCATTCTTAAAAAGTCTTGTAATGATGGTTCACAATATTCTTGTAAATTTAATAAATTAGACCACAGCTTGGCTTGCTTTAATCTTTTTAATAAAGATTTTAGTGGAGGTAACTGAAGTTCGATATTATAAATCAGTTGTTCTAAGCTGTGAATTTCTGACTCTAGTTGAGAAGGTAAAGGGACTGATTTATATGTATTCAGGAATGGGTTATAACCTTTCTTAGGCTTTGCCTTGAATTCAATCTCAGGATCAGTCAAAAATCCATATTTTTTTTTTTTACGAGTGAGAGGTGTATCACAGATACGAGGTTCTGATGGTTTTTTATCAGTCACTGACTCGCTTAATCTTGTTGGGATATTGCTTTCATAAGGCATTGCTGTAATTCTGCTATCAGATATATTAGGGTTATTTACATTACACACACTGCTGCAAGAAGTGTCTGTAAATTTGTTCAGGTGCTGTTTATTTTTAAGGGAAGTAAAGGGGTCAGTGGTGCTGGAATCATCGGAAGTAATTTTAGGGCTTTCCTTTTGTGAAGAGGGAGAATAATAACGTTCCTCTGATGAAGTGGTTGAGTAGTAATTGCTTTCCATTGATGATGTGGATATCCAGGTCTCCCATGATGAACTGTTGCCATCACTCTTTGACTCAAAGACTTCCTCAGGCACACAAGTATTGCTCGAGATATCTGGTTCAGAAGAACTAATTCTTATTTGATGTGGAGTCGATAAACTTGATATACTGACATTTCTTAAATGCTCAGACATGGTGGAACTAATGCCTTTAGGTTCTCTGTTAGGAACAGCTTCAGACATAGTAATCTATAGTCCCCTGCTTCCAAGATCTGTAACAGACACTAGTATAGTAACTAAGAATTACACAAGAGGTAAGAGGTTAATGCAAAGTAAATGACTTATTCCTAGATAAAGAAAAATACAAGTTTTATGAATTCCATCAAATAAATCTATTTTTTTACCAACGATACATCCTAAAATTTAAAATTTTTAAATTAAAAAAAATTAATTTAAAATTTACATTTTAAATTTAAAATTTAATTAATACTTGCATTACTAGACAATAAAAACAGCCATAAGAATTCACTGCAACCTTCAATGCCACACTTATACTTCATGGTAGCTTATTCATTATCAATTAAAAATCTATTTTTTTTTTAAGATATAGACCTCTAGTCATGATCATTTGATTTGATCTTTCCCTTCAGTCTTGTGCAGTTCTTTTGAAGATATCTTTATATCACTCACTCTAATCTACAGTTGATATTACTTACCTGGGAGCCACCATCTCCAGTTGACTTTTAATGGGCACAGGAAGCCAGCAACTTGCCAAAAAATCCTCCATTATGCCAGCTGAATTTTAAATTAAGATACTGTTTTGGCATTTGTGGGTTTAGCATGGAGCAAGTATATTATAAGCAGATAGGCAATTTCATGGAGTTATTACTCCACGTGTAAAAAAGCATCTCCTGTTTTCTATCTTATATTGTGGTTTGTTAAGCTTGAAACTGTTGTCCCTTGTGCATATTTTAGAGAAGTAGTCTGGATCTTCCAATTTTGTTCAGTGTTTTTAAAATCTCAATGAGATCAGCCCTGTCATATCTGGTTTGTAGTACTGTTAGTCCCGAGACTTTCAACCATTCCTAGTATGAGTGTTGACTTACTTCTGGGATGATTTTTGTCATTTGTGTTGAACTTTCTCCAAAGCAGATATGCCCTTCTGAAGTTAATGTCTCCATGCTTCGATACAGTAGTATAAAAAGAGACTCGCAAGGGATTTGTACAGCTGAAAAACACTTTCTTTTTCTTGAAGTTAAATGTTCATTTGGTGCTTCCTAATGTTTGGTTGGCCATTTTTTCTGCAGGTAAATTTAGCTCCTACTGACATTAATGACTAGGTCAAGGTACCACAACAGTAGCAATGGCTCAATTTAACAAACCACAATTTGGCAAATCTCCGGTAGGAACACACACTTTCCACGCCAGGTTTACTCACCCAATTTGATGAACAAGAGTTTGCTGAAGCAGGGAATGTATTGATTTGCTCAGGATGTTGGGGCTGAGCCCATAGATGGAGGCAACTTTATAAGAATTAGTTGGGCCTTGGAAAAGCCACTGGCTATATTTAAAAATGAAATCATTTTTTTTCCAGTTGCCGAGGTTTTTGTTCAGTAAAATATGGGCCCCTCTTTCCTTTGAAACTGAGATCTGGAGGCTTGGGAATGGAAGATATGCTAGATGTGGTTAAATCTTTAACAGACAAGTTTTCTAGGTTCTCTTGGTTCTTGCCCTTCATGACAGCTTGAAATACTAATTTTGCTCAGTGAAATCAGTCCATAGAGCATGAGAAATACTAGGTGTGAATAGTAACTCTTAACATGGCTCAAATTATGTTTTTAATAATTTTTGTAGATGGGCAGAACATTACAAAATTACAGTATTGGACCTTGGGAAGGCCATTGAGCACATTTAAAACCAAATTTGATGGTTTACTTTCAGATTCCCCCATTTTTTGTTTAATAATATGGGTCTTTTTCCTTTTAAAATGAGATTTCAAGATGAGATTTTTAAGACATGTTCATTTGGTAGTGTTTATTACATTATAGATTGAAATGAAAATTTTGCTAAATGAAATCAGCCCATAAGCGTGGGAAATGCATAATTGAGGCATCTCTGGTTGCAACTAATCCGTCATTGCAACTAATTGGGTTGGTCCCATATAGTGTTTTGAACCAAGATTGTACTGTACTGCACTGTCGGGAATCAAAATTATGTCGAACTCGTCCCCATAAGAGTTTAGCAAACATTTTTACCAAGAGTATCCAAAAAATGAAAAAATGAAAATTTATTTCAGTTACTTGTTTGACAAATCGCAGTAACCAGAATTTTACTGGAGCTGAGAATACCAGCACTCAAAGTCGAGTTTATTGGCGTTTCTCTTTCGGTAAAACCTTTTAATCTGAATTCCTTTTTGCCTCAAGTTACCAACAAGGCTCAAAACTTCCCTTCAAATTGCATGTGTTTCGAGTCAAGAACGCCCATCAAACATCTTTAAAGCATTAACTAAACCTTTATTGATCCAACAGTCATAAACTCCTTGATGCCCTCTCCCTAGAAGGAAAAATAAAATGAAAAATATTACCAGGAGTTCCTTAGGCCACGTTGAGGTCTCTCCTGCTGCCACTGTCGCTTCGTACACCTCCAGCCACCACATTGTCTGCTTCGTACACCAATACTCACACTTCACTTCGTACATCAATTATCATCTTGTTTTAATAATTGTATTTTGTGTATTTTGTCACTGGGTAGTATACTTACACTATTCAGTACGCTTCACACATTCCTAACACCTGCTAACACGAATATTTTAATACACCAACTAACAAACCCCTACAACGCATTCACTAACACCTCTACTTTAATAAACCCACTAACAAACTCGTTATAACACACCCACTAACAACTAAAACACAACTAACAACTAAAACACAACTAACAACTGCTGAAACACAACTAACAACTGCTAAAACATAACTAACAACTGCTAAAACACAACTAACAACTGTTAAAACAGAACGGCTAATTACAGCCGTTGGTGTGATGCGAGCAATAAACTCTTGGGCACTTCTTCGCCGTATTTAACTACAGTAAACACAGGAACAGAACATCCCGAAATCCCCGTAGTTCACCCACGTATCTCTATATAACCACTGTACTAGGCTATTATATATTTATATTGCACTAGCGATACGGAAAAAAATATTAAATTTCCTGATGCAGTTAAAAAATATTACGCATAATAAGGTTCAATAAAATACTTTAAACAAAATAGCCCACCTAAAAAATCGACCATATACACCCTCTTCCCATTTTCTTTGCCTCGCTCTCCATCTGTCAAAAAATCCATATAAGTTTCTCTACATTATTCATATTTGAAAAATTTTCCACAAATTAACAAAAACTATTGTCTGTTTTATCCAATATCATATGTAAGCAATAATAATTGATTTCTTTATTTTCTTGAATCAAAAGTTAGAATGTAAAGTTGAATGACAGTTAATAAAATAATTAGTTTCCTAATATTGAGAGTGCATATATAGAGGCCCCACAGGAGATTAAATTAATATCTTCATTCACATAATACTTCAGTAACATAGAGACATAATACTTCAGAAATATAGAGTCATAATACTTCAGAAACATAGAGACATAATACTTCTGAAACACAGAGCCATAATACTTTAGAAACATAGAACCATAATACAGAAACCTAGAGCCACAATAATACAGAAGCATGGATGACAATACTACAGGAGCATAGAGCAACAATACTACAAGGGGGGGCATAGAAGCACCATGCTATTAGGGCATAGAGCCACCATGATATTCTATCATCCAAGAGAATGGTTAAATTTTGTCCGAGTGCGGTAATTAGTGTTGAGTGTATGGCCGTGACAGCTCTAGTAATTAATCGTGACGCGCTCTGTACCTCCCAGCACACTGTGCTGAGACTTCCCCTGTACCTCCCAGCACCCAGCACACCATGTAGAGATTTTTCCCTGAAGCTCCTAGCACCTGCAACACGTTGCTAGGAACTCTCATGGCCAGATAGGTCTACATTTTGTTGGAACTACTTGATCAGTGGGCCACAGCGCGTCGTCTCTGGCTTCCAAAAGTTATATTTTGTTTAAATATATTGCGAATAATTATAATAAAATTATTATTATTATTATTAACATTTTCCTCTTGGGTATCATTCAATAAAATACAAGTAAAAACTAGGCAGTAATAATAAAGTAATTTATCACATCAGTTATAATTATTAGCGTTATTTTGTAATGATAATAATGTTGCTTTTTGCAACATGCAATATTTAAGGAAGTCATACAAATTATTAATATTTATTAAAAGCAATGGCATCTGAGTCACGTGCAAGGTTGCAAGCTTAGTATGTGATCCACGACAGCGCCATCTCTTATTGAAACCCCAAACCTATACCGGACTTATAAGTTTGTTTGATGGTTTAAATATTCCAGTTAGCCGTTACCCGATGAGAGGTATAAAGAACTATCAATTTCCTTTCTTAGTGCACACAACATTCAAAATTCAAAGGTGTAGTTTACCATCAAGGAGGAACTACCCAGTTCAGCTGTGGATTTGGATGAGAGTGAAGGCGTTTGTGTCGTCACCGAGACTAGGCTAGGGACGCTGTCCTCCATCCAAGACAAAATGATCTCTAGAGGCCGGTTGATGTTGTTCCTATGCATATATATTGTAAGTTATTCATTCTGTGTGACAGTCTCGTGTGCTAGGTTTGTCGCTACCGTTACCAAAAGTATGTGCAATAATTTAATAACGTATCGTAGTTGAAACTCGTTAGGTGTAGCATGTTTAGGATTTATGAGAATGGTGGTATAGATTTGTGTAACGATGTAAGTTACTCTGGGTATATAGCCTAAACTTTCCACGTGTTCTCTAACGGATGGTTATATTGTTAGATTTTTTTCTGTACAAGTTACCGGTTCACCGAGCGTCCAACTGCGGATGTATTGATGTAACGATTGTTCTCTGCTGTTGACATTGTCCGGCATGTTCGCGGGGAAACCTTGAATTTGAATTCTTCGGCGGTCGTGTTTTCCTTGTCGAGGAAAAATAAAATTGGTAAACAGACTGTGCTCGGTATACTAGATACTGACTTCAACTCTTAAATTTGAACAGAATAGCTCTTGAGCATTCCTTAGAAATTACATTACTTTTTTCCACTTTCTTTACAGCCTTAGACATTGTAAGATACTTCTATAAGCTATATCACGCAAATCTTTCCAGCAGGGCCCTCTTGGCGATCTATCATTGATCCGTGAAAGTTACCACAAGTCTGTAGATTTGCAAGAGGAGTTCAGAGATGAGGGTTCGATCCTTTAGTATGGCTTCCAGCCCGTCCTCGTCGACGAACACCAAATGCTCGTTAATCCAACATTCCAACCGCCAAACCCCATGTTTATGAATGAAAAACGGTTTACACAAGTCGCGACCTATTTGTTTGAACATTTGTGCTCTGCTGACGATATGTTCGTATCTCAATTCAGCGAAAGCTTCACCCACGTACTATACGTACAAATAATCGCCAATAGAACATACACCTAACCTACGCGTAACTATATATTGAACTTTATTCTCGTACATAATTATATATTGAATTATTAATGTTAAAATTGATGAAAGCGTCTTGGGCGACGGCCGCCGCTTTCATCCAGGCCTCAAAATAATTGCCGGCTTCGGTATTTTCTCGTGATTATGAAATTAAATTTACAAATTGGTCAAATGACACCAACCCGTTACATTCGTATCCTGTGTAAGCATCGTTGGCTGGTAAGAAACACATACAAAAATACTGGTAAAAAATTATCCAATCGATTTAGTGGTGACAACTTTAGCTAGAAGCGTTGTGCTTGTACAGCTTTACGGTCTTTGTTCATTGGTTTCCGCTCCGTTGCTTGAGCGTCTTCCATATCCACGTTAACCATCAAATATTTGATTGTCTGGTGTGACTTGTTACTTTTTAATGTTCTTAAACCTTAATTGGATACCGTGGTCCCCCTCCACCCATTTCCTCTCCCCACGTCATCCCACTCTTTCCTTCCCCTGCAACCTGAAACATAATTTTACTTTATATATAAAGTAAAATCGTGAACATGCGCGGGTAAACGGCAGGAATAACTTCAACACACTATGGACAACACATCCTTGATTTAATTTCAGTTCATGAAAATTGCGCTGGGGGTGGGGGAAAGCTTGGATTAAAACCTATATTAACTTATTAAATATATTTTATTAAACCCATATTTGGATTAAAACCTATATTTGAGAGTTTATGCATCTAACTTGGTCGGGGTAAGCTTATGTCCGTCCTGTACGCTAGATCATTCCCTCCAACAAATTTGGGTGAGGCTAGCCCCAAGCGTCGGGCTTCCAACTTGGGACAAAAGTCTTTCTCTTGTCGGGTAATTATTACTATCTCTTCAAAGTTAGTAATAATTTATTACTTGTAGTGGTATTACCAACACTCTACATGGTGTGCTGAATGTGGCGGCGAGCTGCAACAATTTGTAGATCACCAATTAAATTTATTATTAGTTTTGTGTAATAGGGAACTTAAAATTCGCTAATTACCACTTCAATGCGTAAAGTATTGATATTTGCAACACTAATGATTTGGATGTGTGGCTGAATAGTTAAATTTTGTTGAAAATCATTGCAGTTAATTTAAGTTGGTGACCCCTGACATGTGTGCACGAGTTACACTATGTAGTAACTCGGGGCTGTAGTAGTGGGGCTGGGCCACAAGCGACTCCTGCTCGCCCGCTTTGGACACTTGTGTACATATTAGTTTGATCTCTAAATGGTTTCAGGTAAAAATACACAGTTAATAGCGCAATCTGAATTTGTATGTTCGTACCCCAGACAGCAGGGCAGGCGGCCCACCTACCTATCAACGTGACCTTGAACACCGCCACCAGCCGCCCCAGTACTGACGACGACGACGTCCAGACTAACCCAGACCAAAGTGACATGGGTCTAACGGAGAACAGCCCACTAGGAGTCCTCAAGGAGTTGGTGAGAGAATCTTCACAAAGCAGAAAAGGGTTCTCCAGCGCAGAACCAGATACACAGGTTGAAAAAACTAAAAAAATTGATCCTGGTGTTACTTGGACAAGTAACTTCCAGGAAGAATCTATCAATGGTTCTGGTTTAGTGTTGAATCTTGCTGGAAGAGGGCCAGCTGTACCCATAGAGACGTTTGATCCACTACAAGCGTCAACTTCTGATGCCAAGGTAAGAGGACTTTGCGTAACTAAACCAATCAATATAACTGGTTTTTGTTAAAGTTAGCGACATGGCTCATTACTTAACTTTTTCTAAATACATGTGGCGTTGTAGCTTGTCCCATCCACTGTTCCTCTCCCTCAGTACGGTGTCGGGATTATTAGTGGCCTCGTTTAGCGTTGCTTGACTATTTTACTCTCCCAATTCTTACCTCGTGCCTTCTTTCCCTTACCTTCGCCCTTGAGAGCAGAAGACAGTCTTCGTGGCGTCATCCAGCCAGAATAAACGCCGTAACAAAGGAGGAAGTGAAGAGTTCCTTGTGACCTACGGGAGCCTCCTTGAGGACAAGACCACGCCTCCCCCGCCCCGCCCTCGCCTCGTCCAGAACTTGGTGAGCTGCTGGTACTAGTGTACGGTCACTCTAATATTGCTTAAGCTACTAGAGTTTGTGTAGATTCTCAATGTAAACATACAGCCTGGCAACTAGGCGAATTGATTTCTAAAATGGCTGAAGCTTTACAAAGTGCCGAGGAAGTTAGCAGTGATGACACAAATAAACCTTTAATCGGAACAGCAGTTCCGGTCATCTGGGGGAGCGCAGCAGACGGTGCCGTCGCCGCCTGAGGGTGGACGGGTCGCCAAACAAGAGCTTGCTTTACTCTTTGCCAACAGCGGCCGAGGCACCACTACCATGGCTCCAGGTTGCTCCATACTAAACTTCAGCATAAAGGTCAGTAGCGGCTACCGTACACGCTTCACTACAGCAAGTTTGACAACCTATTAATTAATTTAGCAAATTACTCCCTGAATGTTAGGACGGGGAAAGGGAACTATCGGAGAAAGCGCCAAGCCTTGTATAGCACTTGGAAGGGGTTAGGATTTGGGATGGGACGGGGGAAAAGAATGTTGCCCAACCACTTGGAAGGTAGAGAATTGAATGCCGACTTACATGAAGCAAGAACGTCGCTCTAACGTCCAGCCCAAGTAATTCAAACTATCCCTTCATGTAAGGACAGTTTATATTGGTTGCAAAGGCAGAGCAACATTCCCATATCTGGTATGCAGTAAGGTGTGGATAAAATACAGCAGCAGTAAATGAACAGAAAGATTATAAAGGAAAGCTGGTTATTTCTCGCTGCCTAGTATAATTTTAAAATGTACGTAACATTTTGTATATATTTGGATTGCATTTTACGGTTTACATAAATATTAAACGTTGGCATCGTTACAGTCGCGATGTTCAGCCAATGTGTTGGAGCTGACGGCCAGTTCTCGCGTTCCTGTGCTGGGGAAGGTGTCGCTGGTGGACGGAGAGGGCCAGGTCCTCATGGACGGTGCCTACATGGTGAGTCTCCTTGGTCCCTGGTCCACGGCCTCCTGGGTCCCTGGTCCACGGCCTCCTGGGTTGGGCCACATGGAGCAATCTTTGTGCCTTGTTAGTCATCCAGGGTCTGACCATTGTGATGGTTTGTGCCGTATACGGTAGGTGAAAATCAGAGGTAATGAAGAACTTGATTAATAATTTGATAGATGTTACTCCCCCCCCCCACCCTAGGAGCCCTTCGCTTTTTTATCCAGTTCGACATTACTACAGAACTGAAAAGTTTAATTTAATCTAAAAAAATTGATTAAATTTAGTTCAGGTGTAACTGAAGTCTTTTTAATTATTTGCCATAATTAACTAGCAGTCGTTAATTACTTAAATCCGTAAATAAAAATTAAATAAGCTAGTCTGTTATAATGTTTAAAAGAATAAGCTTTAAGCGTGCTAGTGTCCAGGAAACTTAGTTTTGGGAACATTTGCAATATGGATACTCGCGCAAGCTAATTACTCTGCAATGCACGTCTATCACACTTGAGGTTAGGACTCGCTTGCAGAGTTAAAATCTTAGCCTAATATAAACTTGCCCGCACTTGCCAGGTGATGTACGCAGTGATGGTGCAGCCTCTGGCCGCGTCGGGCAGTGGGTGGAGGCTGGGGAGCGGGCTCCTCAAGGCAGACGTCAACAAGGAGTGTACCGTCTGCGACAACCTCGCCATCGGCATCCTGCTTCAGGTGACTGGTTTCTCTGCAAGTAATCACAAGAGAACAGTTCTAAAGACTCCAATTTCTGTAGGTTAGGATTTCTTGCATGATCTCGCTAATTAACACTTCGGTATATCTAGGATACGAATGTAAGCGATGGACATGTAGGTTTGAAGCGATGTTCTGGTATAAAATTGTAAAAAAAAAGAGTACAAACTATTTACAATTGTATTTTGGCTGGGTAAAGATGGCGGTGATGTTACAGGTTGGAGAGTCGACGTGCATGTTGGGAATAACTTGTCAGCAGAAGGGAGGAAGGATAGTTAGTTTCACGCAGGCTAAAGACAGATCCGGTGGGAGCTCCAATGTCGTGTCTACTCCGGCACCAACCCCAGCTCCCGCCACCACCTTCAGTCACGTGTCTGGCCAAGATCCCGTCAACACTGCCAAGACCACCATCTCTCTCCTCCATGGTACATCTTAGCTTTTATACGCCAAAGGTATTTAGTGTTCTGATCAGGTTCCGTATATACTTAGGATTTTTTTCTTCTCAGGATTGGACTTGAATGGTCCAGTTGTAACTGAAGTGGTCAATCTGGGAACAAAGATGTCCCTTGTGATCAGCGTCTACTGTAAGGACATCACCCTCGACCTCCATATGGTAAAGTGCCAAGCGAAGGGCGACGATGGCCTCAGCATCTCGCTCGTCAAGGTACAGATCAAACTTTGTAATGTAACCTTTGCCATAGAGCCTCGCCATAGTGTCTGGGACACAAAGGTAGACGCTTGGAATGGTGTTGCGTACCACTACGTAATACCTGTACTTTAATTTCCATGTTAAACATAATTTCATGGAACTAGACAACTTTGAATGGACTCGGATTCACTTAATATTTTCTTCCCAATAGGAGACGTGATTACCTCTTGCTTAATGCTCGGAAGTTAAATTTATACAGTTTAGTTTCCATTAAAAGTTTAAGATGATGGTTGTTGCAGGACGGGTGTAGTGTATCGCAGGTGATGGGAGAGTTCAGAGAGGTGCTGGGGGTGGTGCATGAAAGTTCGTTTGGCGTCACACCGGTGAGACGCGTCACCCAGTACGCTCAGATAGAGGCCTTCAACACTCGCACCTCCACCCAGAACTTCACAATAGTCTGCACCATAAAGGTGACTGCCAGCATTGGCCTCTGTACCACAGGATTAACATTAGTAGGGAGAGGGAATTTTGGTATCTGGATATTGTCAAAATTTTATTGAAACTTAACCTGAACAAAGTTCTGCAATAATCAGTAGAGCATTTTGCACAATTAAAGATTTAAGTTGCCATTAATCCTTCTGTTGTGCACTTCATCCAGATGTGCAGTGAAGAGTGCCCAGAGCAGCCAGCGTGCGTGCACTCTGATGTCAACATTGGCAGGAGCAAGAGACCAATCATCTCCCACTTCTCTCAGGTGGTCACCCTCGGCAAGACCTTCGTCGTAGCTGGTCTGTCGTCCAGTCCGTCCTCGGGTAGGTCCTGCTGGTTGGTCTTGGCTACGATGGCCACACTTAATGCTGCTGGCATTAGGACACTTTACTGGTGAAAGTAGTAATGTGATTAGCGATAGTTTGAGATTATACTACTCTTAAAACCAATTGTCTGCATTTTCAAACTAGAATTGATTGGATATCAGTTATTTGTGTGAATGGTAAATCGTAAATGGTCTAACTTTACTAACCTGTGAACTCCCCCAACCCGTCCTCATAAATGCAAAATACTCCTTAATCCAGCCGTCAAACCCCATTTATGCCCGAGGGAGGGAGGGGGGGGTAGAACCCACTGGGTGAAGAACCCTTATATTTGGGGGCCCACCATCCTGTCCACGTCAAGGTCACTAGATGAAAGTCGGCAGCGTGTAAAAGGACCCTTCCCCCCCCCCCCCGCCCTTTTTCCTCTTATCGCAGTTCAAAATCATCTTTTCTAATGTCTTGGCATTTACTGCTTTGACGGGTAGGCGGTTCCATGGGTATATAACCCTGTGGGTGGAAAACTACCTCCCGTTTTCAGTTATAAATAACCTTGTGCTTCATAGTTCATGAACCGAGAAGAGTACTAGTTTTGTAATTGGTTTTGACTATTGGTCAACTCGGGTGAGTACAAAATTAAGATGGATTACCAGTAGCAGCAAGACAAACTTGCCTTAAAGCTGAAACTTAACAAAAATAGAAAATTAGATTTACTTAAATTCTTTTAGGTAGCAATGTTCAAATATTAAACTATTGCAGAAGAGGCGTCGAACATCTTGAAAAGCAAGGCAGCTTCAGGAGCAACCTCTGATACAATCAGCGCTGTGGGTGCCAAGTGCATGTCCTTCAACCATGTTTACATCCTGGTGGGAATCTTGAGTGGTCTGTACTTGGCCATCCTGGGACTGGCGCTGTATTGTGTCCACCGTTCCACTACCAGGACGGTTGTGAGGAGCTGCATGGAGGATTACGAGTCTCCAAAGCGAGCCTTCTACCCGGAGTACAGCTCTCCTCGGAAACGCTCGCCTAAAGCCTCGCCTGAATATTCAACGTTTACCATGAATGCTGACGAGTGTGGGAGCCCAAGGAATTACAGAAAGTGATCTCGGGAAATCTTTAAACGTAATTATACTGAAGATTAGTGGTCGATCCTATAAAATTCATAGTTCTGCTTTTCGGTAATTTTAATTTAATAAGTTTGTTTTATCGTGTTTTATATACTGTAATACTGGATTTCCAATATCTCTATTTTTAACTGGTCAGATTATCAATTGGGTTAGTCTTAAATTTCCCGCCAAATTACTTCCCACTCATTTCCCCAGAGTTCTAGATTAGTCAAAATTCAAAATAATAAAGTACCATTAAGTTAATAGTGCACTATATCCGATAAACAATACATGCTTATATATGCATTTTTACTATTTAATATGGAATAATTTCCTCAAAGCTGACATGTTTAATTCGGCATCAATTAGTATTGGTTACTTGGACACTAACCTAAATCTGTTAAATCTTAATGATGAATTTGCAATGAGCAGATATGACTAATTTAGTTCAAGAACTTGATTACCTGGTGCAGTTGGTTCGAACCTCGGGATGAAGCCTTCATCCTCAACACTACCAGTAGTCAATTAAGGGAAGCCTACTGTGGTAGTGGCCCCGTCAAGCAAGTTCCCGCTCGTTGAGTCAGTTGGCGGCCCGCGGGAGGTCTCGGCCACGCGGGAAGACATTGCCATCTTTGTTAGATGTAAAAAGTGTTAAATGGTTAAAATGTAGGTGGACTTGTTAGTGTTTTTGTTTGTCATCGTTAATGTTTTACTTGGCTTGTAAATCCTACTTGTAATTTTTCATTTTATACAAATTTTTAAATGTTGTGAATTCAGAACTAATTATGGTGTTACGGGACCCCACAAAATTAGGTCAAATTTGTGCCTATATTATATAATATTTAATATGTACATATGTTAATTTAAAGTTTAACCAAATATTGTTTTAATTAAATTCCTAAATTTCATTACTGTATTCTTTGCACCCAAATACTTCAAATGACACTAATTATAGTAGAGAATAGTTACAAATAAACAAATTATCATTACCATTTTTCATGTTCCATTTCTGTATAACCAATTACTTGCAATGTGTTAATGCATACAAATATCTGCAATGGAAAAAATCGATAATTAAATAAATCCCTGGTATACCCTCATCTGGATTACTGTATCAAAATATGGTAACTTACCCTTCAAAAGGCTACACAACTTCTGGAGAATATTCAACCCAGGTAAAAATCTGTGCAGAAATGTTAACTCTTACTGGGAAAATACCGAGGCTCTCTGGACTAGCACTACAAAAACCGTACGTGACGCAGATTGATATACCTTTATTCAATATTTTATATTGGACATTAGATTAATAATTAAAACTAATAAATAACTCGCACAAGGACCAACGGCTCAAACTCGACAAAATAAAATATAGGACGGAAAATGGATGTTTCTCTCCAAATGGTAATAAACCCAAGGAATCGCCTACTCCCACAAGCCATAAATGCAAAGACGCTACTCCACTCTAGTTCAAATAAAGTTTATAATAATAATATTTTTAGAAAGGGGAGCAATGGGAAGACTTGACAAGCCCACAAGTGAAGTCTAAGGTATATCCGGTTCACCAAAGTCTAAAGGAACAAGCGTCCTGGAGGGACATTAGGAAAGACGAATGATCATCCTGAAAATAGTATTCCACAAGGTGTAAAACTTAAGTGGGACACTGTAGTTCAGACAAAAGGAGCAAGTCATCGTTCCAATAAGTGTCCACAAGTAATCGGGCGTAACCTATAGCCAAAGAAATTTCCCACCGTCCATTATAGTTGTAGGAGGAAGGCTAAGGGAAAAAACTTTTTCGAGATAGCAGCTTTGTAACTGTAATGAAAGCCCAATGGTTATTGATTGCAGAATAAATTACTGGGTAGACACCTGAATACGGAATCACTTTCTGGCAAATGTTGCAAGCACGAATTGGCTTCTTAGGGGCAATGTCTGAAAGTTCATTAGAGGTAACTAATATGGCTGAATGTTAACATTCAAACAATGTTAATATCGACAATAAAAAATAGTTCCTTGACATTTACATAGGTAACTTAATAAACCCACAAACACCATAGCCAGAAACAACTCGCTGTCAGTATAACCCCCTAAAACCAGATTATGCACACTGCTCTCCTTTCATTATACTACTCTGATCTATCACTATCTTACATACGGTATCCGTGTGCATGGGGTTCAAGTACTACAAATTACCTCAAGCAACAATCTATCAGAATTATAACACACCGTCTAAAGACAACAAAGCATCCTCTGTTTAAATTCTAAACATGATAAAAATACTTATTTTGAGCTAATTACATACACAAAACCTTGTTCCTAAATGCTAATCCTGATCTGAAACAATTCTTTGATAGATGTAATAGAACCCACACCAGAAATAAATCTCTATCACCGGAGTCAGACTAAATCTGTGCAAACACACTATGCAAATAAAAAGGACTCGGCCTATGGAACTCACTCCCAAATGAATTGAAAAATTATCCACCCTATGCCTTATTTAAAAGTAAAAGCAAAAAAAAAATAAGCAAATTTCATCCTCATAGTTTCCTACCTTGTGCTTCAAACACGCACTGTATCTTGTGCCAAACCATGAGAGTTTAGAAGCTGAGATGAACAGACTGTTGGGTCAATGTCGGAAGAGATTACAACCTCTGAAGGCCTTGGCATGCTGTGGAAAGGGAGCGGGAGTCCCTGTGCTACGAATGTTATACTTGAGTACTGTAAGATCTCTTATTGATTATGCTGCACCTGTCATATCTTGTTTTGGTAAAGGTAGGATGGGCAAGTTGGAGAAGGTACAAAATGAAGCCATGAGAATTATCTTAAGATGCCCAAGAAATGCTATGATTGAGATAATGAGGATGGAGTTGAATCTGCAGAGTATTGGGGATAGAATTGTAGAGATAAATGTAGCCTCTGCCATTAGATTAATGAGAGGTGGGGGAGCTAATGAATTAATCCTCTCGGTTCAAAAGGTGGGAAGTAGTGAACAGTGTATGATGAAGAGAGTATATATGAATAACTTATGTTCTAATGTTATAAAGTATGATGTTATTACAGAGTGTATTGTTGTGCCCAAGAGAAAATTCACACCACCATGGGAGGATTGTAATGTAGATGTAGTAATTACTCCCTTGCAAAAGAAAAAAAGTATGTATGAAATAGGAGAGCTGAGGGCAACATATGATTGTATAATTAGAAAACTGCCAACAGAAAACACTCTACATGTATATTGTGATGGGTCAGTAGCTAGGGATGGGAAGGCAGGATGTGGAGTCTTGATCAGGGAGTACACTGACATCGGCACTGTAGATACTGTTATTGGACGCCGCTTAACTGACAATGTCTCTTCAACGCAGACTGAACTCCAAGGAGTATTAGCAGGATTACAGGAAGTAGTCAAATGTGGTAAAAATGCTTGCTTCTTTATTGACAGCAGAGGAGCGTTAGAGTCTTTAAATAGCAGACGCCCAGTATATCAGAATATTGTGATATACTGGAGAGTGTAGAGAGAATGTTAAGAAATTAGAAAAAACTGGGTATAAAGTAAGATGCATGTGGATCCCTTCACATGTGGGAATACTGTTGAATGAGGTAGTTGATGACATAGCGAAGAGAGCCACTGAAAAAACTCTTGTTGATGTTGTATGTCAGTTAACCTTGAAACAAATAAAAACAAGAATCAAGATGATCCAAGAGGGTGAAGAAATGATAAAGAGAATGGCAATGGTAGACAGTAGTAACACACTTAAGAATTATTCAATAATAAATACCAATTCGTCCTTCACTTATGGTAAAGGAAAGTCTACTTGGAAGGATTCAATTACATGAGATTAAGATTAGGATACAAATATATTTGGCAATACGGTGTTGATGTCAGTGAAAAAGATAAGGAGTGTAAATTATGTAGTATGCCGCACGCCCACACCTTAGAACATTATGTATTAGAGTGTCAACTTATTGAAAACTATAGAAATAAGGAAATAAATAGTGTACCACATCAAATTGTTTGGATGTGTTATAATGGTATGATAGACAGTATACTTAGGAGCTACAAGAATTTTGCCCCAAGAGTGTAACAATGCTGTACTTACTATATTAACCTGCAATGTTAAATGGGATTCTTGTAATGTTATTTGTCTATTTGTACTCACTGCATTTGTGCGCCCCTTGAGGGACTTGAAGTAGAGGGGGGTAGAAATAGCCTAAGCTACTCTATCCCTTTGAGATGTATTTATTGCTTATCTCAATAAACATACTTGAACTTGAACTTGAATCTTGTGCTACCCACTCCCCCAATATTACTTAAGACATGCAACTTAACCAGTGAAATCAATACCATCAATTTATTAGTTGTTCAACTCAGATTTTGCTACAATGTACCTATTGAAATTGAAATTGAAATAAGTTTATTGAGGTAAAATACACACAAAGGGATGAGGTAGCTCAAGCTATTCTCACCCCGTTCAGTACATCGTGTTAATACATACATATAAACATATCACAAACAATAAACATATTACCAAATATTCTGAGAGATAAACATCTACATTTCCGCCTTTACACAAGTAATGTACCTATTGTACTTTATAAAAAAATAAAAAAATAAAATGTTTATTTAGGTAAGGTACATACATACAATAAATTATTACAAAGATTGGTTGACTTATAGGTAGAGCTAGTACATACAATGCCTAAAGCCACTATTACGCAAAGCGTTTCGGGCATGATAAACTTAAATGACAAGCTTAATACTAATTGAGCATAATGAGTAGAATGAAAACAAGAAATGAAAACATAGATGAAAAAGCAGAACAAATACAATTATGTCGACAAACAGCGCTCTTTAAAAAAAACAGACATTGGTTGACAATAGAAGGGTAAGGTAGGTTACAGGGAATTTATTAGGTATAGCTTCGTTTTTAACTTAAACTGGTTGAGAGAGGTACAGTCTTTAACATGGTTGGGAAGGTCATTCCACATTCTGGGCCCTTTGATTTGTAGAGCATTTCTAGTTTGATTAAGTCGTACTCTAGGAATATCAAAACTGTATTTATTTCTGGTGTGGTGCTCATGGGTTCTGTTACAACCTTCTATGAAGCTTTTGAGATCAGGATTGGCATTATAGTTTAGCGTTTTATATATGTATAATACACATGAGAGAATGTGCAGTGACTTAATGTCTAACATATTCAGAGATTTGAGTAGGGGTACCGAGTGATGTCTGGGGCCAGAGTTGGATATTGTCCTAATAGCAGTTAGATTAAGGACCTGCCTGAAACGCTATGCGTGTTTGTGGCTTTGTAAGAATGTAAGAACATCAATGTTATGTGCTCTTACAAACCCAATGTACCTTCCTGTATATAAATAAGTAAATAAATAAATAAATGAACATCACTATGATTGATGAGAGAGAATTAGAAAATTACTATAAATATAGCAACCGCCGGTAGGACCGTATTATTTAATTAATTTATCTAAAGAAGCGATAAATACAACACTTAATAAACTGGCTGGGCCATCGACTAAACTAATGTATGAACCTCGCCAAGCATACATTTCTCCAAGGGATAGCGGGTCAATATGCCCTTCTACTCAATAATAGAAAGACGACACACAACTGAACCCCGACACCTAGTGGCCATTCTTGGAACTAATTTTAGTAAACAAGTACTAGTAGATCTCTGACGGAAACCTGTGAATAAGTATTCGCTTTATGGAAGAAAAACGGGATATTTCACCATGTCATTACTAAGAGTAAGGCAATATAAATTAAAAAAAATTCGTCGCACAATTGTTTCAGTCATAAGGGTATCTGTTTATGTGGTTAATTTAGGGCCGTGATTTGCGGTCTGCTTCTGCCTGATGAGGCAGCATCAGTAAGTTATAGTACTGTCATAAATATATCCACGATAGCAGAAACTACGCTTTGACAATTGTGGTTATATTAAATAACTGAAATGCAATACTGTATTAGGACTGTTGGTATTACTTCAGGACCCTCTTAGATGATGTGGCTCTAACTGAATTTCTTTCTCTAGTACTCAAAGGATTAGTTTGATATATTGTAACAAAAAAGACTTTTAAATATTTTTGGGGCTTGCATAGGTTGGTTAGGTTAGGTTATATATATGTTTAGCAGAGTGTACTCACCTAGTTGTGCTTGCGGGGGTTGAGCCTTGGCTCTGTGGTCCCGCCTCTCAACTGTCAATCAACTGGTGTACAGATTACTGAGTTTCTCGAGCTCTATCATATCTACATTTGAAACTGTGTATGGAGTCAGCCTCCACCACATCACTTCCTAGTGCATTGTGGGCGAGCTTACTCGTCACTGCCATCTATCTTGCTCAAAAAGTAATTTAACTTTCTGTAATAAAATAAAATAGTGGTGGCCAAGTATTTACCCCCTAGGATTTCTACCTTGTTAGTGGTAAATTCAACCATTTCTTATTCCAGCTGTCTTGGCTACTGACTACCACAGAATATAGGCAGTACAGTTGCTTTCATTCTAGACTCGCAATCAAGAAACTTGGGTTTGATCCCTGGAACATGACCCACCAATTGGTTAACAAATAAGTCCCCAAATTACTGATGAGTGAAAAGGACAAACAGTTAAGGATTGACTCGAACCCAAACGAAGTTACAGTTCAAAATGAGGATATTACAACTATGCCACTAGGGTTTTTCATAAACTCCTAAAGAAAAATTTTCTTCAACTGCCTTAATGCTGATAGTAACCTAGAAGCTCCAAATGATAAATATGAGAATAAAAGTCAGGACAGCTTTCTATATACTGTAGTACAATGCAGAAGCAAATGAAGTTGTGACTCACGGCACAATGTAACACAATTTTTGTTTTTGTATACGTAGTAAGTGTTATTTTCTGATTGCTTATGCCTCCAAAGTATAGAATAATGCTGTTATTTCCCCCCTCAAACTTTGTTTTGACCTTTGCTTCACACAGCTTGGGGCAGACAGCTTGAAGGCTGCCGTCTCCTTATCAAGAGTTGTGACACATTATTATTGTGACGCGGCCCAATGTGTATACTCGTTCAGTTTGATAACATCAATTTTCGTCTTATCTCTTTTATTTTGGAATCAAATTGTTCACAATATAAAGGAACATATTTTAAAACTAGTCCCATAATAATAGAGCAATAACTGGAACTTTTAACAAATATTTTAAATTTGAACGCTCGTCATAACAAAATTATTTATATCTTTCCAGTGTTCTGACGTAAATTTTCGTGTTACATCTTTCATTTTGGTATCAAATTGTTCACAATCAAAGGGAACACATTTTAAAACTAGTCCCATAATAATAGCACAATAAATAATTTTAACAAGTATTTTAAAATTTTGCCCAAAAACGTATTTATAATCTTTTCACGTGTTCTGACATCAAGTTTCATATTGCATCTTTCATTTTGATATCAAATTGTGCGCAATTTAAAGGCGCTCATTTTGAAACTATCCCAAAGTCAATCGGATAAAAATTGAATGTTATACAAATATTTTATTGTTGGACGCAAATGATGTCATGAGATAGGACTCGGCAAAAAAATTGGTGACGCATTATGTGTCACGAGATAGGGAAAGTGTTAACATGCAAACCCTTCAAACCACTGAAAACTTGGCCCTGCCATCACATTCTGCCCCAATTTTCTGTACTTCACATAATCATGTGACAAGGGATGTGGCTTAGGTAAAATACTGAGGGAGCCTTGGCCAAAATAGAGCATCGAGTGGAATGAAACACTCTTTTATGAGCAACACCTTGGTAGCTCCTTATCCTAACTTGGCTTGAAGTGAGGTGGCCAGTTCCTCTGAACCTGGGATTCAATAGTGTTGCCAACTAGTGGTTACTGGGATAGGTGATGAGGGTTTGGTAGTGTAATTTAGAAAATTAGACTGCTGTGAATTCTTCCTGCTGTAGAATTTTTTATACTGTACAGTATTGTATTTGTATGCTAACATTTTTTTAACCTAAATTAAACATCAAAATGTGTATGTCTAATGAATTTGTTCTTTTAGGATTCATAAATATATGCTAGTTACCTAATATTGTCATGTCTTCTCAGAATGCCACAAGTGGCTATGATTCAGCATTTGAGGAAGATGTCAAACTACGCAAAAAGCAACAAGAGCGTCATGCTCTTTTCCGCACTGAAAAACCTGCTAGACAAGGTAAAACTTAATTAAATTGTTTGATAATAATGCCAATTTACATTATTTTTATTATCAGTTTTAATTCCCTTGAAGATGATATTTCTGAAACCTGGTTAACCTTCAGTGAGTTAGATATGCATGAGTGAGCTTGATTTTGTATAAACAGAAGCTGCCTCACATGGGCATTCTTTATGTTCTTATGTATATACTCTTTCGTACAATTGAGTTAGTACAAATCTTCATATCCCGTACTGTGTCTAGTATTTGAATCTTTGCATTATTTTCCTAATGGATTTAAAAAATGCTAAACTTTATTATAAATAATTTTGTTTTCTTACTATTCGATAAACAATATGGTATAGAAGGTATGTGTGTGTCAATACAGAACTGGGGCATATTATGGCTTGCCATATTATATTTGATTTATATAAAGGTAAGGTAATTATCAGGAAAAAGCACTAAGCCATTGCTACTATATAGCACTTGGAAGGGATGAGAATAAAGATTTGGGATAGGAAAGAGGGAAGGATTGGTGCCTAACCACTTCAATGGTCGGGGATTGAACACCTAACTGCAAGAATCAAGAATGTCACTCGACCATTCTGTCCAAGTGGTTGGTTGATTTATGAAAAATAAAGTAAAATACCATTTAGACCATATTTTTCTTTCAGGATTGCCAAGCAAGTCCTTTCTGGCAGATGCAGCAAGTCTGGATGAAGGGAAGAGATTGCGATATCAGATGTCCAACTTGACAGCCTATGAACGTCATAAGCTTCTTATTAATCATTATGTTCTCTATCATCCTGGCAGCACTGCTGTTTTGCAACGAGATGCGTGAGTGATGTCAATTAGAAAAATCATTATTTTGAAATATCAATATATAGTACCTATGTTTTGTGCACAATTTTATCATTGCATTATTTTAATTATATTTCCACAGAAAGGTCATAAACCAGTAATTTTTGTGCTGCATGTACTGTATTTTATTATTTTATTTAATAATGTTATAGTGTGAAGTTCTTCCCTCTTTTTTTTTTTAATAATCTTACAAAATAATTGACTGTAATATCACATTTATACTACCTTAAGACTTGAAAGTGCATCTCCCAGACCTTTTCAATTTTGATGAGTTAGACCATGTCATTCCATGCTGCTCCAAGCAATTTCCGACACAAGTTCCAACATCTGGCATGGAGCTAAAAAGTGCCATCATCATTATCCGCTGTACATTTTAGTCTCCATCAGCTTTTGAGATTCATTTTGTGTTTCATACTTAAATGTTCTCCTTCATATCTCAAATATGATTTCTTTGTTTTTATAGGTCCAGAGATAAAAGAGATATCGATGTTATTCAAGAAAATCATCAGTTTTTGTGGGACGGTAATGACATTCCTGACACATGGGAAAGGCAGCTTGCCAAAAAGTATTTTGATAAACTCTTCAAGGAGTATTGCATTTGTGACCTGTCCCATTATAAGGAGAACAAGGTATGTTAAAAGGTAAATGTGAAGCCCATACATTGAATTATCCACATTTTAAGTTACTATGAAAAAAATTACATATAATTGTGTAGTATGACACATTTCCTAGTCAATATGTCACTAGATTGAGAGCACACTTTACATAAAGAAAACTTTTTTGCATGTAAGGCCTTTATCACTCAGGCTTTTGCCTGTAAGTGTAAAATATTATTTCCAAATACTGTATAGTTTACTTTGAACTTGTTATTTCTTTTCATTGATGTCAACACTTTGTGCTCTGTTAAATGCCACTTGTATAGTTTCATTTAACCCTTAAACATCACCCCACAAACATGATGATAGTTGAGTCAGTCATGGGTATCAGTATAGTATTTACTCTGTAGACTACTAGACATATTGACAATCTTGCAAGTATAAAAACTGACACTGCATTTACTGTATTATTACAGATTGGCATGAGATGGAGGATTGAACGAGAAGTTCTGGATGGTAAGGGACAGTTTACCTGTGGGGAAAAGAGATGCAAGGAGCGTGAAGGACTTCGCACATGGGAGATGAACTTTGCTTATGTAGAACAAGGCATCAAGAAAAATGCACTTGTTAAGCTGAGTTAGTACTGTGAATAAAATTTATCTTTAATTAAGTGGTTCATGCAATGCATATCATTATTATTTCTATTTAAGCTTAGAGTTTCAGGAGACACCTTGAATTAAGCTTTAATTAACCAAATTTCATTAAAACTTTCATGTAAAATCAAACTATAAACAAATTTGTATTTGGTTCATGCCTGAAATGCTTTGCATGCAAGTGGTTTATTAAATATGCACCTTTATGTAACAAATAAACAACTACTGTATCATGTTTTCCTTTTGCATGTGTTTTTAAATCAAATTATTATTATTATTGTTACTATTAAAGTGTGAAATTTTTGAACTATCCAAAGCTGTCTTGATTAAACTTGATCAAGAGTTGCAACATAAAGGTCAATTTTTTTTTTTTTTTTTTGCAGGGATATTCCTGCACGGGCCCTAAGCCTCTGGCTGGCCCACTAAGTGTTGCTTGTTTCTGTTTTACTTGGGCGGAGTATGAGTATTTAAGACTCGTAAGGTCGCTTCAGTAAGATTTTGATGAAAGTCATTGACACCAGCTGTCAGATTTTCCGTGTGATGTTTCATCACATAGAAAAGGTATTCTAGTCAATTAAACAGAACTGGTTTCTGACTAATGCAAATTGGCTAATGATTAAAGATGACTAGCTTTTTACAGTTATGGGCTTTTGTTAAATATTCGTTAAATTTCATAATATTTAGCAATTATTTTCAATTTGACTAATGTTAATGAACCACTTGTTGATTTAGAATTAATTTTCAAAATTGCTAATTCTGTAATTTTTCAGTACCAATATATATATATATATATATATATATATATATATATATATATATATATATATATATATATATATATATATATATATATATATATCTCATTTGTTTTTCCTTATTTCTACTTTCCCTTTACAACTACAGCACACTACTTCTTAAAGTAATCCCTAACCAATTAATTTTCTTTTATCAAGTGTAGGGTTTGGCAACTCCCACTTCCTGTCATTCAGTGGTGTATTTAGTCATGCAGAGTGGGTTCCATAATGGGCTAGCAAATCCAGTCTAATGCTGGATTCCAACCATGGCAGAAGTGTTGTTTCCAAGTCAGTTTAAGATGGCCCACTATAACTATGGTCCACTAGCTTATTATAATAATCTAACTGATTCATAGATATCTGGCCAAGTGAGGTAGATGAACTTGTCTGAATCCACAACCACAGACCGAGTCAGGAAACTTAATGGGTAGATTGTTAATACTGTACAGTACTTCGTCCCTGCACAGAGTGGGCAACCTGTGATTGCTCAAGACTGTGTTTACAAAAAAAAAATCAAATCTAAGAGCCTTCCACCCAAAAAAATAGTAAACAGGATATTAATGATTAATTATACATTTTACACAGCTTCTGCGAATGAAATCTGTAGACAATTTGTACCTTAATAAATTATGCTTTTGTATGGTGCTTATGCAGGAATAAAGATAATATGTGGGAACAGTTTCCACTTCATATTATAGAAGTCAAGTAATTGTTCCTGTTTGGATAATAATTAAAACTTTAAATATGTAGGTGACATTGTACAAGTAAGTTTTAATTGAAAGTGCTTGTACACAGTGGGAAAAAAATCTAAAAATTCAATCCTAAAAATTTCCCTCATCGTTAGTGAAATAATAGCTACAGTATTACTAATTGTTGCAGTTAAAATATTTCCATTTTATTTTCCAGGACTATGCCATGATTGTTCATATAAAGTAAATTATTATCGAAGGAGAAAAGAAGTGACAAGAAAATCAATCAAGCATAAACATAGAGAGTCAAGTAAGAAAAAGAAATCAAGAAGGGATGAAAGTGAAAAAGTTGAAAATGCTGAAGAAGAAAATGAAGGAAGTTCTCTTGATAACACAAAAGAAGTGGATAAAATTGAATCTTCAGACAACATTTGGAAAGGCCCAGCTAAACTACCAGATGAAAAGAGTCGAGAACAAGAGTTTGAAGAATATTTGGAAGATTTATTCTTATGATTGTATGTTGGAAGTCTTTTTTTGTATGTAAGAATGATTTGTGCATGTCATTTTATTTTTTATTGTCTTTTGTTTGCCTTTTTCTTAATTTTTTTTTTTTTATTTTGTCTTATCTAATAAATAGGTTTATAACATTAAATTGTTTTGACCACTTGCCCTCATACAGTAGAAGTGAATCTGTTGGTAAAATAAATAAATAAAAAAAAAAAAAAAAAATATATATATATATATATATATATATATATATATATATATATATATATATATATATATATATATATATATATATATATATATATATATATATATATATATATATATATGTCGTACCTAGTAGCCAGAACGCACTTCTCAGCCTACTAAGCAAGGCCCAATTTGCCTAATAAGCCAATTTTTCATGAAATTATTGTTTTTTGACTACCTAACCTACCTAACCTAACCTAACCTAACTTTTTCTGCTACCTAACCGAACCTAACTTATAAAGATAGGTTAGGTTAGGTTAGGTAGGGTTGGTTAGGTTCGGTCATATATCTATGTTAATTTTAACTCCAATAAAAAAAAATTGACTTCATACATAATGAAATGGGTAGCTTTATCATTTCATAAGAAAAAAATTAGAGAAAATATATTAATTCAGGAAAACTTGGCTTATTAGGCAAATCGGGCCTTGCATAGTAGACCGAGAAGTGCGTTCTGGCTATTAGGTACGACATATATATATATATACTGTATATATATATATAAAGTTTTGTAAGTGGTGTAAGATAAGAGTGGGTGGCTGGTCTGCTACCAAGCCTTAAAAGCACATGGAAAGTATCAAATTAGGTAAACATTATGACCATTTTGTTAGTGGGACATCATTCTGATGTTTCAATTTGCATCTCATGGAACAAAGGATTGTTATTTATAATAGTTAAACTTGTGAATCAAAACCACCAAAAGATAGGGCAAAATTTGTGTGTATTGGTTGCATGGTCATAATGTAGGTTATAAATTTGATATGTGGAATGAATATATTGCATTAATCAACTCCCCCCCCAAAAAAAAAAAAATCTATGATGTGCATCTTCGACTTAAACTCATGAGATGTGATATTGTCCTCACAAAAGTATAGTTCAAAACGATCATCATGTTTGTTATGGCTTCTAAAAAGTGACGACACAGGCTGTGTGGCATGTAAAGTTTTCAGCGTCATTTTAAAAAAAATTTCAAATTACTGTACAACAAATTATCCTATGCATTTATAAATGAACTGCATATATTTATTAAGGGTTTGACTCCCAAATTTATTGCTTTTATTGAAATATTTTATAAACTTCTTAATTTTGCTATTCTGTGCCAGTATGCATCAGTATAGACAACTTTAAGTGCAATGTCTAACAATTTAAAAAGTTGCAAGTACTGTGTAATGTAGGATTGGCTGCAAAGAAGTTCAGAAAACTTGTATGTAACGTAGACCATATATTTTTTTATTCTTATATGCAGAATATAGGAGAAGGTGTAGTGATATTACCACTCAATTAAATGTAAACCCACTATTTAGAAAAATCACAGGAAATCAACAATACTTGAGTCTCACGCATGAACACTCATCAGTGTTGTAAGGGTCCCTGTTCAAGACCAAAAAATTTATGATTATTTTTTCTAAATAGTGGATTTACATTTTATGAAATATTTTTCTTAAGCTATTAACCATATATAGTACTGTATCCATTTAAAATATGATGCAAAAGACAATAAAGAGTAAAATGAGGTTAGAAACTTGTTACTATTAACACTTTCGCGCCCCCTTCGATGGTAAAAAAAAAAGCGGTATGTGCGCGCGGCGTTTTTGCTGCGTAAGCGTAAAAACAAAAATGTGTATACTCTTTTTACTCTCCTTACCTTAGTTCTTGAGCTACGTATTTCATTTTGGTACCAACGTGTTCGCAATAAAATTCTCTAGAAGAACATCAGTAAAAAAAGTCACGAAACGTATAGGGATACCAGCACCAAATAAATAACTACGAAGATGACTCGCCGTGAGCGCCCAACTGCAACAAAATGTTTTTACTCTTGGGATTGTTATCACCTCCACACTTGTCCTACAGCGTTAATTTTGGTATCAATGGACTCGCAATGAAATTCCCAACACGGTGATATGAATATAAGCGTAGAATAATGATTGCGGCTCGCCCGCAAGAGTGTGGGAAGTGGTGAAATTGTTACCCGGTATCGGTGACAGGACGACGCACGGCGCTTTGAAAGTTTATACTGTACTTATTTCACTCTCATGACATTAATTTTCTATGTACGTCATTCATTTTTGTGTTAATGTGTTCGCAATAGAATGTTCTATGAGCCCGTAGGTAAAAAAGATCAACAAAGCGTAAGATAGAATAGCGCCAAATATAAAACAACGCTGGAACATATCAGTGAGCGTCAAACACACACGAAATGTTTTTACTTTTGTTATGTTTGTCAAGTTTATACTTGTTGCACACAGTTATTTTTGGTTGTACACTGATCGGAATAAAATTCCCTAAACAGACATATGCATATAATACATGATATGGGGGAAGCATTACCAGTATAAACGGCTAAAGTCACCCACCTGCAACCCGTTTGGGACATAATACCATTTGATCGAAGTGGTCCACACCTTTCATGAACTTATTGTACCATGCAGCCTAGTGGTGAGAAAGAGAGCCTCATGGCGCGCAGTTTGAAACAAACCCAAAGTAAATCGGATAAAAATTGAATTTTATACAAATATTTTAAAAGAGGACATAACTTTATGTCCACCATGCGGGAGCGGTTAGCGAAACAGGACTCCTCGGTGCGTCCTGATCCCGTGAAAGTGTTAATGAATGATTTTTCATTAGTTTTGAAAACCTGTAGACTTGGATGTTTGGGCATTGTATTAATTCCACATATATGTGAGTAAAATGGGTTGAAGTAAATAGGGTAAGGTCTTAATTCTTGCATATTTTGCAAGACTCCTAATGAAAGAAGTCGTGCAAGACTCCTTTCATTATTTAATTAATATTCTAAAGAGAATGTATACAAGACCTGCAAGGCTTCATGGGTTACAATTCTTGTTAATATTCAATACTTGATCCGGTACAGTACTCTACTCCTCTTTAAGGGTGATTGCTCTTCTGGTTCAGTCTCAGCTCTTCATAACAGGGAAGAGGGAGTTCTACCAAGAATGGATGGTCCTCAATCACTTGGGTATCAATGCATGCTTCTACCCACTCTTTAGGATAACCACCTTGTGTCTGGTTCATCGGTTGGTTTTGAGTCAGTCAATGGCTTGTCTCTTGAATCTCGAGCATACTTTTTGGCATGTACACACAGAAATCACAATAGCGTGATGTATCAAATGAACAAATCTACAAGGGCCATGACGAGGATCCTCGTCACGTACTTAAGTACGTATCAAAAGTACCTAAGGATCCTCGTCACGGCCCTTGTGGATTTATTTTTGGCATGTGGTTATCCACTTGCGATTCTGGGACAGCTAAAGGTTTGATGTCATCTTACATTTGTCTGCAGCTGCAGGATTGCTGCTTGCAGACTCCTGTGGCCTTGAAGAATCATCTTTGGTGGTTTCTTTTAGAAACTTTTCAGGTTTGGGTTCCTTGAAGCCCTCTACCTCCTTCCCCCAAGGTTTTTTTTTGTTTATAGACATCTATCCTTTCCCCAGTGTGACCTGAGGCATTGTTTCCTGTCTGTACCATGTTGTTCTCCAATATTGCTACAGCCAATGTATGGGAAGTGACAGCTGTTATTTGTGCTCACACATCTCTACTTTGCTGGTATTTGCCTATATAGGAGGAGCTTCTCCCTATCTCTCCTGTTGTGTCACTGAACACTGTCCATAGCTTTTATTCTGGCTTCCCAAGATTTAATCCTCAAATTGGCCAACATATACAGGGTTTTGAATATGTTTGCAAATTGATCTCCTGGTTTCGTTCAAAAGGGGTAGAGTGGTAGGTGGACAAGGCCTCCTTTTAGATATGCGGCATGCTTAGTGTTCCTCGGGTGAATCTGTTTGTGTCCACAGTAATTTACATAATCTATGTTAGTGTCACTACTACAGGGTTGTGATTCTATTTCAGAATGCATGTTGCGCCTTGAGTAGAACCTTGAAATAAATTATCCATCTTCTCCAGTTTAGATGCTTTTGGCAATTTGTGAGAAGCTGGAGAGCTTCGTGGACTATATAATTTCACCACTCCCTAACACTTTTCACTGTCGCCTCATAATAAAGGATATTCTGTGTAGTTTCATTTAGTATGCTCCCCAGGAGTTTGTTTTTAATAGCCTGCCAGATATATTTAATTGTCAAGAGAAGTTATCAGAGAACAAATGATCAACTTAATAAAATAATACTAAAAACTATATATATATAGTAATATAAATAATAAAATAAATAATAAAATATGTATTTGGTAGCCTCACAACCAAGAATTAAGATAGGTATCCTATAAGTGTGCTAACTCTCAATACTTTATGGCACACTTTTAGTTCTTTAAATCCACACTAGAGGGCTCCAAGATGATAAATACATAACGGTAAATATGCATACAAAACTGAGTCAAAACTTAACCAGAACTTATTCTTCATTAAAAGCACACCTCAGAAAGCATAAGTATAGTATAGTATATATAAATAACACTGCCACTCAACATCAGTAACATATTTACCCGAAAGCCACCATCTCTAGTAAATGTTCCCCTATTATTTCAGTATTTCCGATGCTTATCGGAAATACGATTCTTGAGCGTTATGTTTTAGCTGAATTCTGGTTCATTGCACATATTGTATTTAGAGTTTTAAATTACGACTTTTTATAAGAAAAATATGCAAATTAGTGAAAATGGAGACTTGTCAGATTTTGCCCAAATTGGCTGCAGTTTTCAAAATATTGTACGATGCCTATTGGAAATATGACTCTTGAGCGATTCAGCTCAGTGTTGATGAGCTGAATCTGCTGCCCCTTGCATACATTACATTGGATCTTGTGAAGTGGTTTAGATTATTATCTTACAATTTATTCAGTACATTTTAAAGGTCTCAATGAGATTAGCCCTGTCGTGTCTGGTTTATAGTGTTAGTTCTGGGATGACAAGTAATATATACCAAAGAACAATAGGAAATGGCTTAATAAAAATAATTTTACCATAAATATTATAAATCATTTTAACAACTGACTGGGCCTTTGGCTTCTCTACTCCTATACTCAATTAGGTCATCGAAGTAATTCAAAAAGAAGCTAATCTAACGAATGAGATCAGTCAATTAATACTGTATTTAAAGTTCAGTGTGTAAGTGCCTCTTTGCCTTGTGAAGGAATTTCCAAGGAAGGGTTGGTGACAATAAGGTACTTCTACGCCAATTATCCAATGACCCAGATGGTGTTACAGCCCTCCTGGTTTGGCCCCTTCTTTTAATAATTACAGCACTTCTACACCACTAACAGTGTTGTCCAAACATGCCAACAATTAATTTTAATGAGGCTCTCCACCCCATAAAGATGAGAGACAAGGGAAATGGTAATTCATAATTAAATGTTTGCAAATGTGGGGAAATCTTCCAGTGATTGATTTGATTATTAATTCAATAGACTGAATTGTAATATTAGAGTGGACTGTATTTTTGTAATATATTATCACCAGTAAACTTCCCTTCACACATCTGGGGGGTTGGTCATAATTCAGTTTATCACACCGTAATGAAATGGTTGATACAAATTATCTACTAAACTGTAATTAAATAGTTAGTAATACTGCTACAAATGTGTTAGTTACAATTGGCAATTGTCTCAGCTGATTCGGAGTGTGAGCTAACCATCCAGCATCGGACTCGGTCCACCACTTGTGGTCCGTCCTGGACGTGTATTAATGGCGGCTGTTAGTTGTGGAAATGTACGGCTCAATTGTTTCATGCGTGTTCACAAATTACCTGCGGAGATGTTACATAGTAACATATACAATGTAACTACCAGTAAATTCATTTATGACACACGCATATTAGTTAATGATGGCTGTGATGATGGCATACCCTTGCGGGTGGTGTTTCCTACAGCATAACAATAAATTCCTACACTATTAAATGGCCTATAATTACATATAATAGAATAAACTGAAAGCTGCACTTTCCTTTGGTTTCAAGTCTTGGCAACCAATAGTGGCTATGGTCAGTCACTTTGCATTCTGGGACTTGCTGGTAGAGATAGTGGTCACAGTGGTAGGCTCAGTATCTCAGCAACAATAACCATGCAACATATCATATCTTCAAGGTCAATGTACTACTCACAATGGCTGCCTTCTTCCTTCCTCGGCGTCACCTCGAGATGCAAATTTTATCGAGAGGGGTAAGGAGGTTTTTGTGTAATCTCATATTGTTATTGAATGTGTAATTGAGATAGTTTGTTTATTAGGTTACCAGCTCTGAAACTGGTGGATTTTAAATTTAATTAGCCAGAAACGTTTTGAGAACGAGATGTAGACGATGCAGGATATTAACCCTGTTTTCTGCTCAAGAGTCGTCATTTTTCGTTGTCTCTTCCGGACTAACTAAAGTATTTATTCTTTTGCAAGATTACACAAACCACCAGTATTTTTCCTGCATATTGTATAAAATTTATAATAGATGTGGGTATTTTCCATAGCAAAATCATTAACAAAGAATGTAGGTTTACTAGTTACATGTAGATAATTATTATTAGTGGTTTAAATTCATGGCAAACAATTTCTCTTTTGTAATTTATTTAAAAAAAAACTACTGAACTGTACAGTGTATCAAATACTGAGAAATATTTAGAACTATAAAACATATATAAAATTTTTATTTATTTTCCATTTTAATATACAATGATAAATTAAATTTAATACATAATTATGAAAGCACAGTGTTGACAATTCACAGCTCAAACTCTCCATACTTACACAAACTTTCTCTAGTCATTAACATTATTAATAATGCACAATGATATCACATTAACGTGTGCAGGTCTGAATCATCCTCATAACTCCTACTGATTTTCTCATTGATAATAACTTCCTAACATGAAATGATTTCCTTACTAAATAAATATTTTCCTAGTAAAACTAAATATTATTATACAAAGTTAATTTACCTTCTTAAACTGTATTCATACATGATACAAGCAATTTATGAGAAAAGTATAAAAATGTATAACTATGAAAAATACTGATACAGCACAACTATTATGACAAGGAAACCAAAATGAATGCTCAGGAAAAGTTGCAGTGAATTATGAGATTTGTTTTCAAGTATTTATTTAATACCATTTTACTACCTAAAATGAGTGAGCTATGAGGTAAGAGCAGGGAAGTAAAGACAAGTCACTCGGAGGAGGAGCTAGAAAAGGTAAAACATAGAAGGGCATGTTGAGACATGTACGCAAGGAGAAAGTGTACGCAACATATCTTGAAGCTTCAAGATATGGAAATATGTATTTCATGTAGCATACCTTCTCATAGTAACAACTTTGCAATGTGCTTACTCAAAAAGTATGACTGCTGATGAATAAATATATATATTTACACAAAAGTTATAACTGCTTTGTGATTGATGCATTTTTATTTCACAAAATAACTTTCAAAGATTGCTCCTTTTACAATGTTTACAGGAAATAAGCTAAAAGTGATTAATTTATTTTCTAGATTTGATTTTTTATCTTTTTGGAATAAAGTCTATAATAATAATTGTGTGTTTCATTAAGAAAAATTTTCTTTGAGAAAATAAAGAATGACAAGTATTTTGCACTTATTGATTAATGTTTAATAATTCTTTTAGACCTATTCCTGCAACCCCTAATGCAGTAAACAAATTAATACTTCATCTGCTGCAGGAAATTAACCTCCAAGTATAACTTCACATGTCTCAGGTGTCTTGCAAAGTGCCCAAAACCAAACTTAACAATAATAGAAATAAAATTCTTTGACTGATAAGTCACCAATGCATTTATGCTGATGAAAAGTATTTTTTTTTTAGACCAAGTCTACTATAGATCTTATCATATTACATAAAAGTAGGCGGAGAGTCAATTCCAAGCACACTAAAGCAAATTGTCATTACATTGTAAACTGCTTGGAGGAGGTGAAGCCTTGCATACATTAGTGGCATCAAGTGGGGCAGTGGCTTGGCAACAAGTATATGATATCGACTGTAATATGCACTGAATCGATGAGCAAAAGAATGCAAAAATCGAGTAACAGCAGCAGTCTTGACTTTGCCAGATCCATTTAAAATATCTAGCGTAATTTCTTCAACGATCTCTGGCCAACGAAGAATATACACCCAAACTAGATTCCATTCTTCCTGTAAAAATGCATTCAGTTTTAACTACACTTAAAAATTTTAAAGTGAATCTACTGCACAAACCAGTCATTAAGTCATTATACATTACATTCCTTACATATTATATATATACATTTCTAAATATATCAAAAAAAGTTTCAAAAACTGTTGGCATTCTTTCTAAGATCAGATATTATTTACCTCGCACTGGCCTGGTGACGCTCTATTACTCCCTCATCTATCCTTATCTCAACTATGGAATTTGTGCTTGGGGTTCTACTACCCAAAATCATTTACGTCCTCTAATTACTAAACACAAAGCTGCTATTAAGACAATATCCAACCTTGGCCCCAGACATCACTCGGTACCCCTACTCAAATCTCTGAATATGTTAGATATTAAGTCACTGCACATCCTCTCATGTGTATTATATATATATATAAAATGCTGAACTGTAATGCCAATCCTGATCTTAAAAACTTCACTGAAGGTTGTAACAGAACCCATGAGCACCACACCAGAAACAAATACCTTTTTGATATTCCAAGAGTACGACTTAATCAAACTAGAAATTCTCTACAAATCAAGGGACCCAGAATGTGGAATGACCCTCCCAATCATGTAAAAGACTGTACCTTAGTTTAAGATAAAAACTAAGCACTACCTAATTAACTCCCTGTAACCTACCTTACCCCTATAATGTCAACCAATGTCTTATTTTTAAACAATGCTGTTTGTCGACTAAATTGTATTTTTGCTGTTTTTCTGCCATGTTCCCATTTTTTTTATTTTTTTATTTTCTCAGCACATTTTATACTTTAATCTCAATTAGTATTAAGTTTTAATCTTTAGTGTTTTTCCTGCCCGAAACGCTTTGCGTAATAGTGGCTTTAGGCATTGTATGTACTAGCTCTATCTATAAATTCATCAATATTTGTATCACCCCTTGTATGTATGTACTTTACCTAAATAAACATTTGAATTTGAATTTAATTCATAGCAACTCCCCAACTTAATTTGACTAATGGTGTTTTCCAATACTGTATTGACTGTGTCCCACTTACGTAAAAGCTAAAACAGTTAGGGAAAATCTAAATAAAAATAATAATAAGGTAGCTATCCAAATGCTGGTTCTATTTAAAATTGTGTGGAGATAGGCATATTTTGCAAAGATTCAAGTCCTGAAAGAATCTTAAGTGTTGATGAAAAACATAGTTAGGTATAATATACCTGATTTACCTGAGGGCCGCTAACCCTAGTGGCCTCGACAAGGACAGGAAGTCGGCGGCTTGTCAAAAGTCCCCCCCCCCCCTCCATTTGCCTCTTTTCCAGGTATATTTTGAAATTCAGCACAGTTTTGGCAGTTACAGCTTCGATGGGTTGGCAGTTACGTGGGGGTGAAACTGAGGGTGAAAAAGCATCTTCTGTTCTCAGTCCTACATTGTGGCTTACTGAGCCTGAAACTGTTACTCCTTGTTTGTGTTACATCTGACCTTCTGAAGAAAATATCAGGATTAACATCCTCCAACTTGTTCAGTATTTTAAACGTCTCAATAAGATCTGCTCTGTCATGCCTGGTTTGCAGTGTTGTTAGTCCCCGTGGCCTTCAAGCATTCCTGATACAAGAGATGACTTGGCTCTGGAATGACTTTTGTTGCCCGGTGTTGCACCTTCCCCAGATCTGCTATGACCTTCTGAAAATGAGGTCTCCAAACTTGATTTACTTGATATACACTTGATGACGAAACCATACCCTCAGAAAATGAAGAAACAAAGATGTTTTCGCCCATCTTTGACCATTATCAAGTCGGATAATTGCCCAACTTGATAATGGTCATCATATCTTCAGCCACATTATTGTGACTCATCAACTACACGGTATACATTTCCCTTCATCCATGTTCTTGAAGCTAAACACATCTACCAATTCTTTTAACCAATTTCTTAATTTTCTTCTGTGGCTATTATCAATAATAAAAATATCAATGATATTTTTTCCCAGTTCAGTGAGGCAGAATAGATGTTTGAAGACTTGGAAACATTAAGAGTATATTAGAAAAAGAAAGCCATAATAATGACATTGCAAAATTCATCAGTTATTTTCTCAGTTATGTACATATTTTTGTAATTCAATCCTGAGAGGGTAGGATTACCATGTTTCACAAATAGAACTGCAAATTAACTGACATACTGTGCAATGTATTGGTGATTAAAACTTTACATACAAGTCCCCGTGACAAAGTGGTAACACAGTCGCTTGGCGTTTCGTGAGCGCTTTGTCCTGGGTTCGTATCCTTACCGGGAAGGGTTTACTGGGTGCCAATCCTTAACTGTAGCCTCTGTTCACCCAACAGTAAAATGGGCACCTGGTTATTAAACTTTAAGGACTTGCCCGAAACGCTACGTGTGCTAGTGGCTTTACAAGAATGTAAGAACTCTAGTACTGTATATATATATATAGTACTGTATATATAAATAAATAAAATTTTATCATTCTGCTTCCCATTGTAACATTTATAAATCTATTGCTTTTCTTAGCAAATCCATAGGTATTGTTGTAACCACGTAACTTAAATTTGTTTAAATTTATGTTAGTTATAGAAGAAATAATGTATACACAGTACTATAGTTTACACTCAAATTATTGATTCAAGGATATTTGAGCATTTTTGATAAGATTAAAATATGACTGCAAGAAGTAACAATGAACAAGCACTAATATTTAAGACTTACATCTTGTCTAAGAAGAGAGAAGTCCAGATCATCTGGAGAAGGGAGTGGCGAGACTTGTCCTTTTCTAACATATTCTTCAAAAGATTTAAATATCATACTGAGCCGTGCATAGTTGTACAACACAAATGCCCATTCTGTGAAGGAATGAATAATTATGAACAAAACGAATCCTATACTGTACTGTACAAAGCTCCCACATTTTACACTGGTGTTCCCACATGAATTCACACTTGCACACATTTTTTTATCATACAAAATTAAAAATTTGCAGATACTGTACAGTACACTTTATTGTTTGGGGCTAAGCAAGCATAGGGAGTAGTGCTTAGGTAATTATTTTGCAAGAGTGCTCATGTGGTCTACTTTATATTTAAATTAAAATAATATCCTGACTTAAAACAATGTCCAGGCTTGAGAACTGAAAATAAAGTTTGCTCAGGAAGTCAACTACCATAGCCTGCCTGGGATGGCTGTGTGACCTTGTGGGCTATGAAGAGAAACACATTCATACACCAAACAATCACCAGGGCCATGCTGTCATTAAAAGAGAACTATCAAAACATCAACATGCAAATGAGGGGGGACTACTCAAGAAACAGAGTTGAAAATATTGAAACACTGCTTTATGAGCTTTCCCCCAGTTGCTGTGGTTTAATGTCTTTGTCTCCACTTGTCTTAGCACATTGGGCTGGCCTGGCCTTCATGTAAGGAATATCAGCTTCACTGGCTGTGTTTACATGTCTACTGCCATCTTGAGGTAATCAGAGTTACTGGCTAGTGGTCTATTCGTTAGTTGGTCAAGCAATAATTTGTTTTCCTATCAAAATGTTTTTGCTTGCAATGAGAATTGAGTTCGTATTTTATGACTTATATGATAGCAAGCTGATCTCTATATGGTAGACATATTTTTCAATTGTTTCCCTCCTCAATTTATATTGCAGGACTATTAATAAAGTTACCTGTAATGGTGAGGAAGCATGTCAAGAAAGTGTGGCATGTTTTGTGGTCTGGGTGGATCATTTGGGTATATGGCTCACGGGAACAACCAAAGGACTGCTCTGAAAGCACCGTCTCAAGATTCTCAATGCTTGTTTTTTCTTGTAATCAACTTTTGGGAGTAGCTCTTTTCTGAGCATCTTGAAAGAGTATGTATATGTTTATGCATGCATATCCATATATCTATCTGAAAGAGGATACCTCTCCAGATGCAGGGCTGGTAATCTATATGACTAAGGGATTTGGTATAAAATGTTATTTTTTTTTATGTTTCATATTACAGTATATTGCATATATGCCAGTCCTTGTATTTCAAGATGAGAAACTGCTCTGAACACCTATATTTTATGCATCTCAGACTCGTCACAGTTTGATCACTGAAAATTATGTTCTTTGTGATAAGTTAATGAATTAATTTCATTAAAGAATTATCATTTTGGGAATATTTAAGAAGAATGGCAATACTATATACAATACCAAAAAAATACCAAACTAGTACAGTTACAAGTAAACCACAGCAACCATTTAGCTAGTGGCTTACACATACCTTTTGTATTTTGTGTATAACTATCAATTTCAACTTTCACACAATTTGAGTGTGAGACAGAGAGCATTTGAAGAGTCATGCATTGCCAAGCCTGCTCCTGTAACAATGTCTTCCATTCAAGACAACCTGCGACACCATGTTTCAGCTCGACTGCGCGCCTCAACTCTACCTCCAAAATTCTGAGGAAAAGTAAGAAGTTGCAGAGATTAAACAATTTGGTATGAAATAGCCAGCATATCCATCGAGCACTGCATACTACTGTATTTTGATGGTTTGGCGATTATCTCTCTCACACACACAGAGGGGCTCAAGGTGTTATATGACAAAGAGTACTGGAAAGACAGGACACCACAAGGGGTAGCTCTTATCCTGTAACTACACTTAGGTAATTACACACACACACGATGTGATGGGTCACATTTTTCTCAAACCCCCCTGCAGTTTTCAAAATACAGTATTGTAAATACAGGCTGTATTGCAAATTTGACTCATGAGCGTTATTTTCGACCTGAAGTCTGGCTCACTGCACATTTGCAGTTTGAAATTACGACTTTTTATACAGAAATTATGCCAATTAGTTAAAACAGCGATGCAATGGGGTCACATTTTGCCCAAACCCCCTGCAGTTTTCAAAATATCGTAAATATCGCAAATCTGACTCATGAGCGTTATTTTTTAGCAGAATTCTGGATCACTGCACATATTTGCAATTTGAAATTATGACTTTTTATATAAAAAAAATATGCCAATTAATGAAAACGGCAATGGGTCACATTTTGCCCGAACCCCCCTGCAGTTTTCAAAATATCGCTAATATCGAAAATCTGACTCATGAGCGATATTTTCGAGCCGAATTTTGGCTCACTGCACATATTTGTAGTTTGAAATTACAACTTTTTATACAGAAATTATGCCAATTAGTTAAAACAGCAATATGATGGGGTCACATTTTGCCCACCCCCCCCTGCAATTTTCAAAATACATGTATCGTAAATATCGTAAATCTGACTCGGGAGCATTATTTTCAAGCCAAATTCTGGCTCACTGCACATATTTGCAGTTTTAAATTACGACTTTTGATACCAAAAATATGCCAATTACTGAAAACGGCGATGGGTCACATTTTGCCCAATTCCCCCCTCCCCTGCAGTTTTCAAAATATCGCAAATCTGACTCATGAGCGTTATTTTCGAGCCGAATTCTGGCTCGCTGAACATATTTGCAGTTTGAAATTACGACTTATTATACCAAAAATATGCCAATTAGTTAAAACAGCGATGCAATGGGTCACATTTTGCCCAAACCCCCTGGCAGTTTTCAAAATATCGTAAATATCGTAAATCTGACTCATGAGCGTTATTTTCGAGCCGAATTCTGGCTCGCTGCACATATTTGCAGTTTGAAATTACTGCACAACATTTTTTGCCGAAAATATGCCAATTACCTCCTCCAAAGGATACCTGATCAACCAGGCTGTGACTCATACGTCAGGCTGCGAGCAGCCGCGTCCAACAGCCTGGTTGATCAGTCCAGCAACCAGGAGGCCTGGTCGACGTCCGGGCCGCGGGGACGCTAAGCCCCGGAAGCACCTCAAGGTAACCTCAAGGTATTACTGAAAATGGCAATGGGTCACATTTTGCCCAAACTCCCCCTGCAGTTTTCAAAATATTGCAAATCTGACTCATGAGCATTATTTTTGAGACAAATTCTAGCTCAATGCACATATTTGCAGTTTGAAATTACAACTTTTTATACAGAAATTATGCCAATTAGTTAAAAAAACAATGCAATGGGGTCACATTTTGCCCAAACCCCCTGCAGTTTTCAAAATATCGTAAATATCGCATATCTGACTCATGAGCGTTAATTTTCTAGCAGAATTCTGGCTCACTGCACGGGGGAGCCAGTCGGCCGAGCGGACAGCACGCTTGATTTGTAATCCTGTGGTCCTGGGTTCGATCACAGGCGCCGGCGAGAAACAATGGGCAGAGTTTCTTACACCCTATGCCCCTGTTACCTAGCAGTAAAATAGGTACCTGGGTGTTAGTCAGCTGTCACAGGCTGCTTCCTGGGGGTGGAGGCCTGGTCGAGGACCGGGCCGCGGGGACACTAAGAAGCCCCGAAATCATCTCAAGATAACCTCAAGAAGATATTTGCAGTTTGAAATTATGACTTTTTTTACCGAAAATGTGCCAATTACTGAAAACGGCGATGGGTCACATTTTGCCCCCCCCCCCCTGCAGTTTTTAAAATATCACAAATATCCCAAATCTGACTCATGAGCATTATTTTTTAGCCAAATTTTGTCTCAATGAACATATTTGGCAGTTTAAAATTACAAATTTTTATACCAAAAATGTGCAAATTAGTTAAAACAGCGATGCGATAGGTCGAAGATATGATACAGTAGAGCACAATAGACTCAGGAATCTGTACACCAGTTGATTGACAGTTAAAAGGCAGGACCAAAGAGCCAAAGCTCAACCCTCGCAAGCACAACTAGGTGAGTACAGAGCAACCTGTTCTCGCACTTTCGTATAGTCAATATTGACTTATTTAATACGTGCATATGTGTCATACTAAACATACTAGTTTACCTTGAAAAGCTTCATAGAAAACATCGACCTTACCTAACCTTCTTAGTATGTTAAGACAAGCATCTTATTGCTTCGTAATTACAATTACTGTATTACTTAACCTATTATAGGTATAGGTTAAGTAATAATTGTAATTACGAAGCAATAAGATGCTTATCTTAACATACTAAGAAAGTTAGGGAAGGTCGGTGTTTTCTATGAAGCTTTTCAAGGTAAACTAGTATGTTTAGTGTCACATATGCACGTATTTAATAAGTCAATATTGACTGTAAGAAAGTGCAAGAACGATTTGTACAGAGAGAGAGAGAGAGAAAGGGGGGGAGGCAGGCAGAAGGGAGGGGGAGAGGAGAGAGGAAGAAAAGAAAGGGAGGGAAAAGAGAAGGGAGGGAGAAAAGAAAGGAAGAGAAAGGGAGGGAGAAGAGAGAGCGAGGGAGAGGAGAGGGAGACAGAATGTTCGGGGAGAGAAAAGAAGAAGAGGGGAGAGGAGAGGAGGGGTGAGAGAGGAGAATAGAGAAAGGAAGGGGAGAGAGAGAGTGGTAGAGAGGGAAGTGTGGAGGGGGGGAAGATACCTAAGCACACTCAGGTATCCTATTGAATTGAGAAATGTAACTAGTAGAAATATGACAGTTTGATTTGATTTGTTAGGTGTGGCAGAATATGTTTGTAGACAATGCACAGCCCATGTCATGTCAAGCAGATGGTTAAAACACTAGACTACCAAGGCCATGGTCAGTCCACTAAGATATATGGAGTCGAACATAAAATTGTAAAACTGCAATAAGAGGACAGGTACACAATGTTAAAGTGGATATTCTAATGACTGGATGCAAGACAACATTACACACATTCCAAGGCCTGATAAAGTAAGAGTACATGTAGCAAGGTGATTATGCTATGTGAAACAAATGGGTGATGTAAGACACTGCTGTGTAAGCAGGATAGGTAGATTGAAGGCCAAACAGAAGTGAATGCCTTTAAACATATCATAGAAGCTTACACTAACAAGCTTTACCTAACAAGATCAAACCCACAATGACATGACCAGTAATAAAAAAAACAGAACATGAAATAACCTACTTGCAATAGTCTTCTGCAAAGCCATTCCATTGTTTTCCAGTCTTCATATTTACTATAGGCTTATACTGATAACTTCCTGGAATAGTTTCTCTACCTGCTGAATCCTCCATAATGACAAAGTGAAGAGTATTATTTTTATCTCTGGGACAACACTCTCCTGATAAGTTTTCTTCTTTAACTACCAAGTTTACTTTCTCTAAGCCATTATTGCCATCACACTGGTCTTCATAATTCTGAACATCATTTCTGCTCTCATCCTTCAAGTCTTGCTCCAAAAATAACAAATATTCTGTTTTCTTTTGTACCTCCAAAGCCCCTTCTACAAATTCATGCACTTCACTAACTAACTTTGGTGGCCTCTGCCATGTTAATGCCTGACTTTCAGACAAAAATCTTGTAAGTTCTCTAATGGAGTCATCGTAAGATGAAGTGTTCATTTTCTGTCTACTATAATCCTTAATAGTTTGTTCTGGTTCCAAATTTTTACCTAAACCCCCTTCTTTCACTTTTCTTTGTGGACATAGTTCAGGTGAGCCACGCACCACATCAGTTGGTAAAAAATTTTCACTAACAATCTCATCAGTTAATCCCAATTGTTCACTAATAACCATATTAGTCAATCCATATTTTTCACCAGTTGCAAAATCAGTCAATTCTGATTTTACACTAGTAGCATTTGATGTCTGTTGCTCTGAGTTTTCATCTTGTGCCAATATATCTTGATCTTTCGCTGCTTCACATGGCTGCCGCTCTTCCTTATTTTCAGTTTTCCACTCATAATAATCTTTAGTCACCTTTGTGTATGTGTCTTCCCTATGGCCTTTCTCCTGCAGTTTTATTGTCCCATTACTAAATGCTACCATTCTTATCAGATGAATCAGAAGTTTTAACCCACGCAATTTATTTATTTGGCATCGATCTCTCGGTTTTGCTTCCTTTAACACAAAGTTGGCATGAAAGTTCACAACTGTCTGCAAAACATGAGAGAAATAAATTAATAGAAATATAATAATACATGATGCACAGTGCCCCACACGAAACTCGGCACAATGTACAGTAGTGATGACGATAATGTATGCAGTGCCACTTGTGTATACAAGTAGTGAGCAATTTAGAGGGTACATACTTCACAATCATATCCAAAATATGGAAATCTCTTTAACACTAATTCAGTAATACTTGAAAACAATCAATCAGACATAGGATCACAAAACATAATACAGTATACCAATGTCATATAGGTGAATAAAGTGAGTGACAATGCTATACCTCAAGAAAGTGATGAAATTATAAATACTAGAGTTAATTATTCATTATGTGGTGAGGGTGATAATTTTAAATGACTGTTACTTTCTGCTATTAGTGTTTCTGTTTCAATCTAGCTGTTACATCATTACTCGGCAAAGCTGTTACTAGCATTTGATGTAGGGATGTTGTGACTTCCCCACCCACCATTGTGGTACAATGACCTAAGCATTTCCTGCATATTTTTATATCGGTTGTGGGATTAAATTGGAACCAAACTTTCAATCAAGTGCAAAAATAGCCTCTTATTATAGTATCTAATTTTAATTTACTGTACTATATTATTCCTATTCTTTCTCTGAGCTGATACCTTCCCACACCATGACTGAGAAAAAGATTAATGATAACTAAATATCAAACACAAGCATACCATTAAGAACTCTAATCTTACGTTTTCCATAAATTTTGAAGCTCCATACTTCACACCTGCAGCTCTCATTTGATGTATAAGAGATTTTATTATTTTGTGTCTCTGTAAATTGATGCACAAAAGATCCTTCGTCTTCCAAATTTTGCTTAGAGGATACTTGCACGATGTTAAAGATGATTGCACCAACTGAAATAAAGAAAGATATTATTAATGATGAGCATATGGGCCATTATTGCATAATGAATGCCACATTAGCCACAATGCTCAAGTACTGATGTCATCTTAAGAAAAAGTATGGACACCATGACTTGTACTAATACAAACTAATCATTCTATGAATTTATATAAAAATGTTCAAACCATTAACAAAGTCAGCATTTTGAAAGTCCCTTAGTCCACATCCATAAAAGTTTAGACATTCTTAAATAACTTTACTTTTAACAAGGCATCAAGATGGCCAAATTCACTCATAATGACTGTACTTAACTTACTTTGAGATTTTCATCTGTGCAATTTGTAAGAAACTGCCCAAAAATGGAACTGGACGAGATCACATTCCTCCACTTATGAGCCCTCAAAGGAATGACAATGTCTGCTGGAACCGCATGTTCATGATTTGCTGTAATGCAATATACAAATATTAGTATGACTAATATATTCAGTTTGTCTTGAACATAACCAAACTGCATAAAATATAACGAGCTATTTTACCATAAAACAATGCAAAACAATCTTACAAATATATTTATTAAGAATATAAAAATAGAAAGAGCTGCAGAAGGGCTTTTGGCTCATACAAGGCAGCATCTATTTTCAGTTTATATAAAGTCCCACTCGCTCATATTCGTTTAACCTATGCTTGAAACAATCCAACAATCTCGCACCTGTTACATGACTCTGTAATCTGCACCATAAATGAACAACTTATTTTCCAAACCAGTATTTACCCAGATCTTTTCTGAATCCTAATTTATCCAAGCTGTATCCACATTGAAGCGAGACTTGGAATATGATCCAAACTGGATACTAATTTCCTCTGCACATTTCTTAATATCTTGTCCTGCTTTTATCAGTATGGATTCTTACAGCTATTTCTCCATTTCTTCACTAGCAATTTGTATGGATCTTAATTCATTTATTTATAGTATGATAACCAGAAATAATTAAACATCATCTTTGTATGGTAATTGAGTCAAGTTCTGAAATTCATGATACAAGATATGTTGACAGATAATGCCATTTTACTGTTACAGCATCTTAAAACTGCTGTGCAATAATACACTTATTTAAAGTAACTAGTACATAATATATTTCCTGAGAATCTTTCTCAAGTCATGGGCCCTCAATTTGTTTTCTTGCCTGACAACATTGTTAGGAAAGATCATACTATAATTTGACTACAAACTTTGTGTAAGTTAATTATGGCAACTAACAGGGTGAAAGTGAAGATTAAAACATTCGTTATCAGAGCACAAGTAAAAATAACTGCACAAAGAAGGAATAATATAAAAGTATGCAAATCAACTGCGAAAAAAGACATAAAAGAAAGAGAAACTTTATATATGCGTGATAGCTGCCTCATTAATAAGACTTGGTGCTGGAGGCCACCAAGCCTAGTCATGATTAAGCTCACGCACTACATGAACCTCTTGGGTTTCCTCTGCAACATTTTCAACATTTGTTTCAGTAATTGACAATGATATTTTTTATTTTGTTTATAGCATCGTTATTTTGCAGAAGTTTATTGTACACCACCAATTATTTTTCTCTTGGTTCTTTAAGCTTTTTATTTTCATTTGCAGATTTGGGGTAAAACATTCTTAATGATTTATCTCTGTCTATGTTCCAGATACATAGTACAGATTGAAGTGCTTTAGATACACTCAGTAATTCAAGTGTTTTTATTGTACCGAGTCTATGGTTAAGCATCAGAATGTCAGAAACAATAGAGGCATGAACGATACTCAATACATACCAAAATGCATGAAAATGGATAAAAGTTCAAGACAAGAATAAACAAATACGAACATTAACTGTAGAATCTGGCCGAAACACTGCGCGTACTAGTGACTTTACAAGATTGTAAATACCACGCTATGTATTCTCACAAACCCAATGTACATTCTTGTATATAAATAAATAAATAAATAAATAAATAAATAATTAAGAATATCTCACCTCTTTTGGCCACTTGAGTAAAAGTGCGGATCTGAGGCTCACTTGGCCTCTCACCGAGGACACATTCTAGGAAGCTGCTCCCAAACGCCGATAAAATATTTGTTTCAAAACTCATGATCAAGATTTCTGTGAATATGAAGATAAATTATATAAATCTACACCCCCCCCCTATTCTCAAACCACTAAAGTATACTGTATTGACAAAAGGTCTATTCTGAATCTAAACTTATCCAATTTGTATCCACTGTTTAGTGTTTTTTGTGTTGATCTATTTGGCCCCCTATGAAATATCTAGGGTGCCAGCAGAGTGTTATTGACCCTCAGGTAACTCTAGGTGGGCCTCAAGGGTCACAACAACACAACGGCCACAAACATGTTCCAACGCACAACACACTAGACCCCGTAGCCGGTTTGAAGGTAACTCTTATTATATATGTTAGTTATACTTGTATATAACAATAAATATTAAAGATAAATGCCGAATATGTAATACTAATTAACATGAATGACGTCAGGAGCTAAACTCCTATTATATTATATGTCTCCCCCCCCTCCCATGTCTTTTATGCTTAGTATTTTGAGCGCTATTGTACTTGTGCGCTAGATGGTGCTCACAACTCTTCACCATAGTCCTTAATGGTGAATAGTCCACCATAAATAATTCTTGTGTTAGACAATATATATGATATTCACATTTACAAAGCACATCGTAAAGGCCTATAATACATATCAATATTAATTTACGCAATGTATGGCGTTCAAATAATTTTGCCCGAAACGCTATGCGTATTAGTGGCGTTAGGTATTGTATGTACTAGTTCTATCTATAAATCCAACATTATGTTTGCATAACAACTATGTATGTACTTTTACTGAATAAAAATGTATTATTTATTATTATTATTATTTTAGCCCAAGGGTCGGTTGGGCGCTTACGACTCATGACTCTGGACTCAGATGTAAACACAAGTGGAGGGGGTTGGACATGTGCTCTCATCTCCAGGAGATAATCTTCTCATAAACTTCACTTATTATAAGGAAAATTAAGCATATTTGCCACAGACCATAGATTATTACGGTAAGGCACGTACTTACAGCCGCAACACCGACATTATCAACCAAAAGGCATTTGAGCAATCAATTTTGCTATATCTTCCATATAGAGACAATTCTATAACCAATGTTCCAGCGATGTGTAAATATTTCATTCAAAATGATCTGCTACCAGAAATTTTAGCCAAATATCCCCAGTTTGCTAACTGTAGGTAGTAACTGAGTGATTGTAACCTATCCACCGCGGCCCACTGGATTGGGGGCGGTGTGCAGGACAAACATATAAATTGTGATGACTAGACCACACACTAGAAGTTGAAGGGACGACGACGTTTCGGTCCGTCCTGGACCATTCTCAAGTCGATTGTGATGAGGAGGTAATAATCTTTCCTGCCTCTACTCTACACAGACGCTGTCTTGTAGAATCGGCTCTTATACACAATGTACCCAACATGAACTTGAGTCCTGGCTTTGTTGCTGTGGACTCTTCCCTTTCACAGGGAAGAAATGCCCCTACTCAAATGCTCTAATCTTTCTAACAAACGTGACTTAACATAAGCTTACCCCTTCCATTTATCTTTCTTTCTCTTTCCTTTTCTTTCTCTCTTCTCCCTTTTCTGTTCATTGTCTTCTCCTACGCTCCCTTGCTATCCTCTTCTTATTCCTATTACTATCTCCTTCGGTGGTTATAATAGGAGCTGCCTCGTATGGGCCAATGGGCCTTCTGCAGTTCTCATTATTACTACTATCCCCTACACCTTACTTTCCTCCTCAGCTCTCTCTTGCCTATTTATTGCCTGTCCCTACCTCCTCATCACAATTTACTTGAGAATGGTCCAGGACGGACCGAAACGTCGTCGTCCCTTCAACTTCTAGTGTGTGGTCTGGTCAACATACTTCAGCCACGTTATTGTGACTCATCGCCTGCATATAAATTGTGACACTAGCTCTCCACATGTCAGTTGCTTAATTTAGAACCAGTACTTGAGGTCGATCTCGAACCCATTGTTGATGTGACGACTTATATTGAATTTTGTAAATAGCTCATCAAGATTGTAACTTGCTTAGCTAAATGAATTGTGGGGTTCAGTCCCTGAGCCCATTGTGTGCCTCTGTAACCCTTTCCACTACCGCCCACAAGATGGGTATGGAGTGCATAATAAATGAACTCTTGCCTATTTATTGCCTGTCCCTACCTCCTCATCACAATCGACTTGAGAATGGTCCAGGACGGACCGAAACGTCGTCGTCCCTTCAACTTCTAGTGTGTGGTCTGGTCAACATACTTCAGCCACGTTATTGTGACTCATCGCCTGCATATAAATTGTGACACTAGCTCTCCACATGTCAGTTGCTTAATTTAGAACCAGTACTTGAGGTCGATCTCGAACCCATTGTTGATGTGACGACTTATATTGAATTTTGTAAATAGCTCATCAAGATTGTAACTTGCTTAGCTAAATGAATTGTGGGGTTCAGTCCCTGAGCCCATTGTGTGCCTCTGTAACCCTTTCCACTACCGCCCACAAGATGGGTATGGAGTGCATAATAAATGAACTAAACTAACTAAAAAACTCCTCCATATATATATATATATATATATATATATATATATATATATATATATATATATATACATACATACATACATACACATACACACACACACACACACACTTTATATTACAGGTACTGTATTTAGTTACAGTAGTCTTCAAGTGGTAAACTTCAGACTAATTTTGAAATTTAAATTTAAAAGTTGTTTATTTCTTTTCGGTTTATTACGAATATAATTCATCGACAGCTGTTAAGATCTCTTGTCAAGGGTGTATTTGAACAATCCTCTATAAACTTCCCTTGTTGTTTATGTCGAGAATATTATAAGTGGGCTTAATTAAAGTTTCCATGAAATATTTACATTAGGTTTCTGATTTACCTGATACTGTACTGTACTTTAGTGATGTCATGTATTACAGGAAATTGGTACAACAAGCATCCATGCAGAAATGCTTAACCCAGAAGTAGTTAACTTCCCAGCACCAGAAAGCCGTGTGTCGTACAGTCAACACACCTGGAATGACATGAGCAGTGATGACTCGTGGCATCAAGTCATTGATGACCATCCATTTAATACCAAAGTAAGAAATTTATATACAATACTGTAAAAGACAGTACACTGTACTGTAATATACAATTCAAGAAGCAAAGCACTTCTGCTCTGAGAATGTTAATTCAAATACTGTATAGAAAATGAAATTCTTTTGAGTATAATCTTGCTAACATTTCTTTGAATATACAATTCTTATTTATTGACTCATATTTTATAAGGTATCACTGCTACTCCCAGACACCCCAACATTGCCTCAGATCATACATGATGCAGTTGCAGATGATGGAGAGTTCTACTTAGTAAGGAACTTACCTCTTTTGGAGTTATGTTCTCCAACTTTTCTACAGGCATTTGTGAAGACAGGTATATAAGATTGGAATACGTTTCTTTATGCAGAATGGCTGTAATGAACTGAAGAATGTTATTGACATTAATAGCTACAAACACATAGGCAAATTATATCTTTGACGTAGGTACAGTGCAACATTTTGATAGATTAGCAGTAGACACACAACTACTATGACGGCAAGTATCATGCATGTTTCTACACAATTTAATAAATTATTTAAAATACACATTTATTGTTAAATGAGAGTAATAAAGGTCCTTATCTTTACTTTTTAGAGTAGACAGATTTTACTTTGTAAATGAGAATTCATTAGTAATCATTTGGTTAAAATACAACACTGAAAAGGAATTTCATGTAGAGTTTAGCAATAAGAAAATAGGGGTGGTTCATTTATTTTGTGGAATTACATCACTAAAAGTGTTGTAAGACTCTGATAGAGATTTAGGTAAATTACTTATGCCTATCTGCCTGCCTGTCTGAATGGGTGTATTGGATGTTAAAACAGTAATGAATTAAGATTTGTTAAATTTTACACTTTTCTATACTTTGCTAGAAATAATACTAGGCTGAATTTTGGGGATGCAAATTTTCTGTACTGTATTTGATACTCATCAGTGACACTTCTGTAGGATGTTTAAATGCAGTTAGTTGTGATACTCGTTTAGACGTGGACAACACTGCAGCATTAACATCAGATGGACTGCTTCATCTCATACTCAACAAGTTCACATATCAAGAATTACGACTAAATGGCTCTTTGTCATCCCACATACTCCGCAAACCCCTAGAAAAGTATGGTGAGAAAAATATTTGTGTTTTTGTAAAGCTCTGAATTTATAATTCAGTGTCATAATTGTTCATGAAGTTTTGAAAATGTTTTGTAAATTAAATATGGTGGTGGTATAATTTGATATATATCTAAAATATATGTACTGTATATTCTGTGATTCTGTATATAAACCTGTGGTTTATCTCTGGTACATTTGTTATTTAAAATATGTCTTAGTACTATATAACATTTCAAAGAAAGTCTCTGAAGAGCTGTATCACAGCTCATTTGAAGTGACTGATCCATAACTTGATCAGTGATTATTAACAAACTTATTAAACGACTACTGGATAATGCTGAATCAGAATAATTTTTTTATCGACCACTCATCTACCACTCTTGATATCTCATAAATCCTAATTCAGCTCTTAAATAATTTAAAGCCGCTGAGTCACAATAACGTGGCTGAAGATATGATGACCAAACAGTTTACAGAGATTATCCTTGGAGTAAAGTGTTTAAAGGAACAATGCATTGCTGAAGCATGTTGCCCTGGTCTGAGGTGTTTGATTCGTTTGAAGGTAAGCCAAATGAATCAAACAGAGGTGTTCAAATAAACTCTGCTGAATTATTGAGTATGTCCAGCTCAGCTTGAATTTAGGCAGGAAGCTAAATTTTTGGTTCACATCAAATTTGATTAAATGTAGATGCTAGCATGAATATGGTTCCTAGATGGGGATGAGAGTTTATATAAGGGAGACCATGTATCAGTGAACTAACATGACTATTATTATAATCATGAAGAAGCAGTTTGAAAAGTTCTCTTGACACTATGCAGTATGTTTTCATGCCAGATTGGTTCTTATTATAGGGAGCAGCTGAATGATCCACTCAGACAGGCTCTCTTTCATAAAATTAAACTTTGTTTTCTTGTACTGTATTTTTTGGCAGTTGTTGAAGTGAATATGCAGAAGCAGTGCTTCAAGCCCGGAAAAGCATACTATGAAAGAGTTATAACCGCCTTCACAGAAGTTCAGCTTAGGTTTAACTTTTGGTTAACATGGATTCCAGATAGTAAGTATTTTCTAGAGCTGAAAATGAATGCATTTCAATACTGGTTTGTGTTTTAAACTCTACCGTGATTACTAAAATTATCCAATAATAATATAATATTTAGACACTACTCTAAACTCTGTCAAGTCTCCTATCACCACAAATGCTTTTCGGGTTGTTAATTTCTGTAGCCCTAACTATTGATTTTTCATTCTCATGCCACACCAGCACCTTGCATGTGTATATATAAGGATAGGCTTTTAATTCCATACATGCTCATCAGTCTCAAAGGCACCTCTCTATGAACTTGGGAAAAGCACTTTACAAAAGTTTAGAAAGGGCCATATACACCTGTCTTTCTCGCATGTCTTCTTCACACGTTGTCTTGTTGAAAATGTTTGACTTACGTAGCTTCTACCACAGAACCCACCATCACTGATCTATATTTGAGTTATTTCTTGTGTTCTTTCAATCTCTGACCTACTATATATACAATACTTTTTCCAGTACAACTGCAGTACATTGATGTCTACGATGTGCACACTTGCCATGTTCCCCTTTAGTTTTATACGTTGATATAAACGTATAAAATTAAACGATTCTTCGCGGCGGGGATCGTATTCCAGGGACCTGCCCGAAACGCTACGCGTACTAGTGGCTGTACAAGAATGTAACAACTCTTGTATATATCTCAAAAAAAAACAAAAAAAAAAATATATATAATTGCTACCATTTTCCTGTCATCTGGCACATTGCCACTCCCTACCTCTTGGCTATTCCATCTCACTCATATCTCCTCATTTGTTTCAGTCATAACACTGTTGTATTCCCCTAAACTGTTCAGCGACCCTTATCTCATAGCCTTGGTGTTCTGTGACATATGTTTTCTAAATACAGTACAGTACTTATTTCCTAATTATTGCATCCCATTTATTACAAAATAAATTTTTGAGTGAGTAGTCATATGTATTTGCTGAGAAATATACTGAACATTTTCAGTGATGAAATTTGTTTTTGAGTTCTTGCCAGATTTTCTGCATTAGAAGATACAAAATTTATTTGTATGAATCTTGGCAATTCATGTAAATTTTTTTTATAAAATTTAGGATATAGTATAACATAAGATATATTGCCAATTTTTTTTTTTTTTTTAGTTTGCCCTAAATCATGTTTATTGAACTTGCTCCATGAAATGTTACTTTGGGAAAACTAAAGTACGAGTCTCTAGTTTCATGCATTGTTTGATACATACAATACGTGGTGAATAGGAGAAGATTGGCAGAAAAGCAGCCAAGGCAGAAGATATACAGGACTGTTATATTTCAAGTACAGAAGTCAATACCATACAATAAATTATGAATATTTTCTTACTGCATTCTTATTTACTAAATATTGTAAAGTACAATATTCCTATACTTTTACTTTTTGATTCTTATGCATAATTGGATAAAGATATTTTGTATTTCAGATGCAGAAATTTGTCCTTCATCTGTAGCTAAATATTTCCATGATCTTGGCTACAGTATTGAGGAACAGCATCCATGCTTGAATTGGAACATTGTGAGGGAAGCTGCTATGCCCTTACTTTGTACAGCTTCAGAAGAGGACCCTCAAGATGTTTTGGAATGGATTGGATGTCAGACACTTGGTGTAAAAATGTAAGCAATCAAAATTTGTATAAATAAAGAGTAAATTTATATAAATAAAAGAGCATATGTTTCTAAAAGATCATGATGTACCAGGTCCTAGTTCATTACCACGTAAGCAGTTCAGTACTAAACTGGCTTGGGCTCATATTCTTACTAATAGAGGTACAGTACTCAGATTTATGAAATGATTTATCATCTAACAGAAAGAAAATAATGCTATGTATTAAATTTGTTCAATAAGGATTCTAATTTTAATTTTTGGATAATTCTTTTAGCATTTTTCTGTGCAGGATACTAAGTTGCTCTCTTAATCCAAGTTTTGCAGTTCTTGTGGACAGGGTATGCACTGTCAGGCCATGTCGATGTATTGCACCAGCACAGCACAGATCTTTTTCTAACATTTCAGTTGGATCATATTTGAGAATGCTCAATTAGCCCAGAATGACCTTAATAATACTTATTCACCTAATCCTCAAGTCCTTCCAAGTGCTACTTGGTACCAAAGAGTGCTTTGTTAATCGCTAATTGGCCCCTAGCCACCACTACAACCTGCCACAAGGCAATTACCTAAGTGTAATTACAGGATGAGAGCTACGCTCGTGGTGTCCCGTCTTCCCAGCACTAGACAATTGCCAGGTAGTAATTGAATTGTGCAAACATCAGTTCCTTAATGACAGTGTTACCACTGGGGGTAAAACAAACATATATGGCATTCAGATTTGTGTATATCTTTATGGCATAGTCCAAGATCATAGTGTAGTTTAGATATTGATGCTATGACTAGACTTTCTTATCTTTTCTATTTCTTTCTTGAGCAGGGAAGTGGAAGGTACAACAGTATGTGAGGTGGTCACTCCAGAGCCAAATGTTCGTGTTAATAACCTGTATGTATTGCAGTGTATTGGGTTTTTTTCCCCAGCCCATCTACAGATCTTACTCCAGCAAATCAGGTGTGTGTTATAATTACTTACTTGGATTAAAATTTAGTTTGTGTTTAATACTCATACTTGAACCTATATTTTCAAGAAGTACAGTGCATTTAATTTATTTGGCTCTTGTTTTGAGACTGGGTTACACACAAAATCACTGCTCACCAGCATCTAAAATATACTGGTACTGTACACGTTACTTGTTCAATCAGTTACTTATTGACTCGGCTTGAGACAAGATATAATTCTCCGGGCCATAACTCTGTGGATCAAAACAATACAACAAATATTATGAATGAAATGTTGTCGATTGTTGCAGCTGTAGTGTTAAGTAAGAAAATGCTAAAGAATGAATAATATTTAAAAATTCTTGAGTTGTATCCAGTATATTACTTTAATGCTTAATATTGAGGTATAAAGGTGTATGGAAGACTATAGGATAGTCCTTGTACATCATTTGTAGCAATTAGGTAGGAAAATTGGTTTCATAAACCTTAAATCTATATTGTATGAAAGCTCTTGTTTTCTCAGTACCATTAGGAAATTGTATTAATACATTATATGTACTGTATAAACCTCTACATTAGTATTACTACTCGGTATGCAACAGTATATTTGAGAGACTTCATAGGATTACTACCTATGGAAAAACATACTTATTTCCATGCATACACTCCCCCACACACACACACATTCTTCACTTGTTTTTTCCAGTTTACACAATTGACTTTTTCAAAATACAGTCCATGTAGTTATTTCTGTGTTTACAAACCTCGTGTTAACTCCATAAGCCCTTAGTCTTAGTATTTATGTCTTATGAATGTATCTCCTGCGAAAGCAAGAATTATGATGCCAAGTACAGGTACATGGTCACTGTGACAATCTGTTTTAATGTACTTTAATATTTTCACTACAACCCTTTACTAGAAACTCTTAGAATCCAGTGCACTAAAATTATCCACAAGACACATTTAATACCAAGAATAACTGCAAAATTCATTAGGGCCAGTACAATCTTCAAATACTTATTATGGCTGGTGGGGAAAGGAATTTTTTTTTGTATCAGACATACCCTGGTGACTGTCAAGGCTTGATAATGAACCTGTCAAGTAAGTAAGTAATTGATAGTGCAATTTTCTTACCTAAGAGAGCCATAATGCTTTCACATATCACATAACTTACCATGTGCAGCATGCTGACTTAGAGATTAATTATCCCACTCAGTAAGACAGTGCTTCATGTGTCTAGAGCTCTTAACTTACATTGTGTGTTTAGGATTGAAACTAATCTGTTACCTGGGAAGAGCTCCTCCATTGTACTGGGGCACAGTGCACAGGTTTCCAAACTTACATGAGCAGATTTCATTGTTACCACACATACTCCAAATTTCACATTGCTTGTTTTGTTTTACTTGACATCCTTGTGTTCCAAGTTCTGAATACATTACTTGTTTTTAGTTGTATTTGTCTTTGTTATTCCAGACTATAAATGTGATCTCATACACTTGAATTAATAACTTGCAGTGTTCTATAGTATTTTGTTTTCATTTTATTCTTTTATTCTTTTTACTCTAGATGATAAACAGTAATCCACATTATGAAATTTATCAACAGGTTGTGGTTGAACCAGAGGAAAGAATCGGCTGTGCCTTGGGTCAGTATGACAGTATATGGGCACCCAGATTCACCTGTCACTTGGGGTAACACAGAACATGTTTATTGTGCAAATGGTGACAATTTATATACGTTAATTATTCTGAGGGACCAACTGCAAGTATACAGAATATCAGGTTCAAGAAAACCACAGAGATTGTATGTGAAATCAAATAAAAATAAATGAGACTGGTCTGAAAACTATATATTTTTTCACTTGCTACTTTGCTTAGAATACCTTCTGTGAACCTCTTGAACAGTATCTAGGCTAGCTTTTTCATTAATATTAGTGTAGTTTCCCATTTAAGTACTTATACATACTTTGAGAACCATCAGGTGCACAATGTCGGAAATGCTGGGAACAAATGTTTTTGCATGGTATGACTAAGGAATGAAAAAGAAACAGTTACCTTAAGCATAATTATCCCATGAAAACATTCTGCCACAGGTGAAATATAGAAACCCTGAAATTTCTATGACTTATTTACAAGTGTTTATTGATAAAGCTGAACTGATAAAACTTTCCAAAGTTAAGAACAAATTACTTTTTACAAAGTTAAACATGTATCATATAGTTCTAATTGTGTCAAAAGCACATTATGAAGTATCAGTATTTTGATGGCGCTCTAAGAATACTAAACAGCTGTTCATTATTCTGGCAGGCCTTCACTGATTGGATAAAAAACATAAAATTACAGTACATTAATTAATATCACTGAGGGTCTTAAAGGCTGTAAGAAATACTGTTGGTTGTGTCTGTCTGGCAACACAACCATCTGGTGCAGTGATCTTTCAGTAGTATCTAAAGAACTGAAGAAAATGCCAGCTAAAATAAATTAATGGGAACAACAAAGAAAATACTGAAATTCAAGCATAGGGCTGTTGTTCACCAGATGGGTTGTTGGACTAGAGGCTTCTGCAGTAACACACAAGTGTGAATGGCTAATGAACTTAATGCTATTTAGTGTAGTAAACACTTACTTGGATGCCGCTGTAACGTACTTATCACATATAAACCTGAGTATGTTGAGCATTTTAGACTTAAATTTTATGGAGCTTATTCTAGACTTGCTTACCAAAGCATCATCTACGTCTGCCATAAATAAAATACTGGATTTTATGATTATGATTAAATACAGTATACAAAGACATGCTAAGAAAATCCTGTACATTGTAGCATGCCTCTAGACATTAAAACTACATTTCAAGGAAGAACACAGGGTTCCCAGATGGTTCTAGTTACCCTACGCCAGGACCAGATCAAACCGTCGCAGCAAACCTTGAACTTGACGGATGCACAATAAGCAGGGAGCCTGTAGATGGCCAATCAGAGATACTGTTGCCTCATGATAGATTCCTCAATGATCCTTGCCATGGCCTTGTATGGATGCGATGGCCTAGCACAACACAAGTACACTCCGAGTGCTACAAGGAGAGAGAGAACTCTCCTCTTGACCTCACCCTGTGGTTTACAAGGTACTCTGCCAGCAACTTGACATGTGACTCACAGTGTCCTAACTTTATTATCACAAATTACTTACCACCCTGCGGTATATCATAATGTATATTCCCAACTGTTACTGTGTGTATTAATACCCATCTGTCTTGTTTGCAAAGGTTCTTTGATCCTATTTATATGTAGATCAGTCTTTGCTACAACAGTAAATATTTCAAAATTTACTTTCATTCTTGAATGTTTGTAATTTGGACAAAGTTACTGGTCTAATAACCAACAGAACAGCTATGATGCTTTCACTTGGCAATAGATTATGACAGTCACGAAAACCAGGCCAATGGCATCTTTATGGTCCACCATGAAGCAACCAAACAACAGAATGGTGAATCCAATGAAGTAACTTTAGAAATCCTCATTTCCTCATTACCTCATATTCATCCTTTGGCTACCAACTCCACCACCTGGCTCACAGCAGGAGATAGTTCCATCATGGCTACCAGCTGGTACCTATGCAGTGCCAAAGCATTGATCATGGCTAAGATGATTCTGGAGAATCAAGACCAAGAACAAAAAATGAAAGAGGTGCTTTTTTTGGTGCAGAGTTGTATTCAAGTTACAATATTATCTAAGGTATACTGTATTCCCCTGGCCAAAAGAGTGGTGCACGACCCTCCTATTGCTACAGCACATGCACCAAAGCATACTCCAGGATTTATATTAACATTGGTGTATAAAACATACATGAAACAAAATACACACCCAACAGCAGATCCAAAGCATCCACCAATTTGTGGGATCAGTGATTTAAAGTCATCATGGGTGATAAATTCTTTTACAGTCTTCATAGTGTGATCAAATCGTCCATATTTCCTTCGTCGACGGACATACCCTTGTCTCGAAATAAAATTATGCATTACATGGCTCCTATCTAGTCCTCTAGTGGATATGGCTGTTACACAGTGCAGAAACTCGTAATGTTTTGCTCCACCTTTACAACTAGTCTCTGTGGCTAAAACATCATGGCTACTTGGGCACCAAGCACGTACACTGAAGCCTCCAGTAGATCCATTAGGTACCAAGAGGACATGAGGGGATACAGTGGAGTGCCAAGTTGTAGTGACTGGTCGGTGTGTCAGAGGATCGTGGGCTGTCACTTCTACCCATATATTTTTATCACACCTGGTGAGGTTTTCCAGCACTTTAATCTCCTGGTTTGTCAGCATGCGAACAGGGAAATGGCTCTCTCTCACCACCACCCATGAATGCTCTGTGTCACTTACCAATTGTGTCTGACCTTCTATAAACCATGGGGATTCTTGCAACACAACATTACCCAGCAGGTGCTTAGCAACTAATCTCATTTTCACAGCCCAACCAGAGAGCCTTCTACCCTTGATATTATCAGACTCAGGGATCCTCATGTGAGGTACAGCAGCTGCAAGGTGTTCCCATAGCTTGGACACATCATGAATGTTGTTCTGGGTGACTGCCACTACAGCAAGACTAGCAGCATCATAGGAAAGGGCTGCCACCAATGGATATTGAGGGTACAGGACAGACTGCAGATGATGACGATTGATATCATCCACCCTGGATGATCCTGCCCATGCAACAGTGCACACTGCACAGATCTCTGCAATGGCACGGGCAATAGGATGGTTGAGAAGTTTGGCACGATTGGCAGGATGAGCATGTAGCATGATGAGGTGACCATGTAGAATATGGCCAACAGATATCATGATTTCTGGTAAATCACTGCCCACTGAGATCCATACACCCGCTTCAGGGGAGGCAGCCAGAGTTTTCCTCAGGTATGTTGTGGAGATGTTGTTGATCTGAAGCTCTACTGGTGGTGTCACAGTGAGTCCCCGTGCTTTGCCAGCTGCCATCACTTGGGCCACCTGCTCAACCTCGCTGCTAGTCACAATGGGGATCAGGTGTGCAAGACCACTGCTTGCTAACCTGGCCACCTCAACTGTGATGAGTGCATCATGAGGGGGAGATAGTGATATGAGGGCTGGGCAATCACTGCTGGAAATAAGGGCTGTTGGGGACACAACCAGTGCCTTCCTGCCTGAGACTTCCATGTAATGACACAAAATGTTTACTTCCACTCCATCACCTCCTACTAGAAAGACCTTCACTCCTTCCTTCCAGAGTGTTGTGAAGGCATGGAGTGCACCTAATGGGGTCCCCCCCGTGGGAGCCTTGCGCAGCTGCAAGTGCATTGTAGCCACATGATTTCTTGCTGCCAGGACTGCTGCATCCCATAAGCCCTTGTCCATTGCTGATCCAGACATCAACACTCCAATCTTTGCTTCATCTGCAAAGCATAATTCACTAGTTATGGTAGGAATGCAGTGAACCAGGTTATAACATTCAAAATCTACTTTCAAGATACCATAATTAGGTTCAGATTAATATTTATCCAAAAACATACAATGATCTTTCAGTTAAAATTATTTCTCTGATGCTTCAGCTTCTCCCTACAAACAAATTTAGCTGTGTTAAGGTCAGTGGAGTGGAAAAAAAGGAATGGGGGAATGACAATACGTTGTTTGGTTTACACTGCATGCATACAGTATAATTATATGCAATCTAAATCTGCCCTGATTGAGTATGGTAAGTAGTTTATAATAAAAACTTGTTTTCACACATATGCAGAATATCAAAGGCTGAAGAATTAAAAAATTCAAAGAGCTAGATTAATTATTGTTAAAATGGATTGGTAAGCTTTCATGACTTGTCCAGAGTGTCCTTAATCACAAACTGCAGTGTGCTACCATTATGGAGGGTTCTTGCTCAGCTAAGGATCCTCAGTGTGGGTTTGATTCCACCTGAGTCATACTCTGCTCTTGTGGGTAATCCTTGTGTTTACTGTTTTTCTTATCCTAAGTATGCAGCCTGTTGTACTATTGTTCACTAGGCTCTCCTCATATTATCTTTTCCGGTTGGGCAATGACTTTTCAGAACATTCAGTATTTGCTCTTTACATAAGAACATAATACAAAAACTGAAGTTAGGCCTATTCATATATGTATATGTCTTACCTACTATTGAAACAATCCAGTGATCCCATGTCTATTATCTTACAGGTATAGTAATTTGCTCCTAAATCAACAACCCTATTTCTAAATCAGTTTTTACCCAGTTCTGTGCTACAACTAAATTTTATTAATTAAGTCGGTCAGTAGGTCTCTGTCCAAACTTTGTATCTGACACAGAACTGGACCCCATGATTCAGATAACCACATCATCGTCTAATCAAGCCTTCCTTCCTTTCTTCCGGCTAATCATTAACTCCTGCAATCACAGTTCTGAACGAAGGATGCATCATATGGTTAACAAGCTCTGCATAATATTCCTTACTTTGTTGACATCTAAACATATCTATTACAATAAGCAAATTCATCACTGAAGCGTATAAGTTAATCTATAGTACAGTATATAATTTACATTTTCTCTTAACATTTTTGTTTATACAGGTATATTATTAATAGACATTACACATTAAATATCTGAAATATTTATTGATATACAATAATACAGTAATATTATTTTGCACAATTTAGGTCTCATTTGGATTGTCCACATATCTTTTCCATGTTGCAAGTCTGATTCTACTTAAGACAATGTTGGTGAATTTGTCTTATTTCTTGAGACATGAAGAAAGTCACCAAAGGGCATTATATTTTTCCTATCCAACCTATTTTTTATTATCCTGCAGTACCCTCATTAGAATTTTCTT